GACGCACCGGCATCGTTTAGATAAATAAGGAGCTTCTAGCCTCAAGCTTTTGCTCCACACACCTATCAATAATTACAATATCAAATATTCAACTATATTTATGTGATTTTCACAGTCGGGCACAGAGCACAGTAACTTACGTCCGTCTCGGGCCGAACTGCCTACATCTGCCTTGCGACATAATTGCCATATGAGCCTTTTTCCAGCCAAATTTGACAAGTTGAGGCTTTTGATAAATTACGTTGGATAGTAAGAATTATTTATGCTCGACTCTAATTTATTTTTAAAAAATTCACAAAAAAAGTCCAGGCAAATTACAAATTCACTAGTGAATATTTCATCGTGGCCCGTTTTGGCCTTTTTTATGAGCAGATTTGATTGTTTTCTCGTGCTACCGTCTGGCAATTGACCCCAACATGAGGACCCCACAACATGACTGCACATGTGGACTCCACAACCTGACCCCACATGTGAACCGCGCGTCTCCACAACATGACTGCACATGTGGACTCCACAACCTGACCCCACATGTGAGCCGCGCGTCCTGACCCTACTTATGAACCGAGCGTCCTGACCCCACATGTGGACCGAGCGTCCTGACCTTATGTGTGGACCAACCAGTCTGGTCTCACATGTAGACTGAGCGTCCTGACTCCACATGTGGACCGAGCGTCCTGACTCCACATGTGGACCGAACGTCCTGACTCGACATGTGGACCGAGCGTCCTGACCCCACATGTGGACCGAGCGTCCTGACCCCACATGTGGACCGAGCGTCCTGACCCCTATTGTAGACCGAGCGTCCTGACCCCACTTGTGGACCGAGCGTCCTGACCCCACTTGTGGACCGAGCGTCCTGACCCCACTTGTGGACCGAGCGTCCTTACCCCACTTGTGGACCGAGCGTCCTTACCCCACTTGTGGACTGAGCGTCCTGACCCCACTTGTGGACCGAGCGTCCTGACCCCACATGTGGACCGAGCGTCCTGACCCCACTTGTGGACAGAGCGTCCTAACCCCACTTGTGGGCCGAAAGTCCTGACCCCACTTGTGGACAAAGCGTCCTGCCCCCACTTGTGGACCGGGCGTCCTGACCCCACTGGTGGACAAAGCGTCCTGCCCCCACTTGTGGACAGAGCGTCCTGCCCCCACTTGTGGACCGAGCGTCAGAACGCCATGCAGTTGCGAGCAGAGCAGTTTGAAATACATAAACTTTGTTATGACATCAATAACTATATTTGCCGGTGTGCCAGCAACGAAAAACAAGAAATCCCGACCAAGCATGAGATTGCTATACAGCCTATACTATAAATACACTAGCTTTGGGATTCATTTTTGGGCTGCTAGTGGTGCGTTGTTTGAGAAGTCCCTACCGTGGCAGCTCAAATGCAGTCGTCACCAGAGCTAAGTTGTGGTGTATGTGGCTTACTTTTAAAAGTATGCAAAAGTTTGGATGGGATTAATGTCCTTCAAAGTGCGACTCTGTTGTTGTGAAATAGTTTTACCGCGCTCTCACATAGCACATATTTTCCATAAATAGTTTGGCATTGTAAGTGGAACCGAAATAAAGATACCAGTAACGGAGTATAAACCTTTTTCACCTCCATATCCCCCAGATTTTTCACAAATATTTTACAAAATTATGTAAATGCTCATTGAAATTTTGAACTGATCATCAGCTTTCCATTGGTGTTACTGTTTTCATATAATTTATTTATTAACGTTGCAATTTACAATTAAGGCCCTATTAAGGTCCAAGTTTCGGCAAGGTCTCAGGTAAGGCGGCCGAAGAAGGGTGTGATGGTGTCGGATTCATGAAAAAGTTTCATATATAAAAAGTTTTTATATTTATTCAAGAATTCCAACAGTTTAGAATCACGATCATCATTAGACCATTAAACTACTGAGAGACTACAGAGAGGAGAGGGACTTCGCCCGTCCTGCCGAGACATATAAATGCCACAAATAAATACACGTCGATATGAACAATACAGAAAGATAATTCAATAATCCAAAATACAATAATTCATAGACACTTATTGAAGAGCACTAATCCAAATTCACTCGTACCTGAGAATAGCGCACTGCAGCCTATATAATAGCTCAGTCAGCCTCACATAGACACCAGAGACAAAGTGCTCTAACTTGACTGGCTAGGCCTTACAACAGGTACTATTCCGACAAGTAGTGTGGATAACCTTCTTACAAACGGCTTCCTCTCCTACATTGGTTAAGCTTGTAGTTAATTATAGGTCGCACTCATTTGACTCACTAGCTCAAGAAGAGCAAGGACGAGCAAACATTATTAATACCACAACTGTAACTTGCCTTGTCTTATTAAATTAAACGATTTCTGCATATTATTTATCCATTTATATTTTCATTGAATTAGGGAAACTCATGCTAGAAGATAACATGTCTAGTACCTCCTAATACTTTTATTTTTTAGGCATTTTTTTTATTTGTGATTCCGAATCTTTCTTCACATCGTGGTGCGGCAACAATTATGTGATAATTAATTTGTTAAATCTGTTACGTTTATTTAAAACTTTCAGTATTACTGCATGTTAAGCATCCCAGGACCTGGCCGTTTCCAGCGCTTTAAATGGCTATATAATTTTATGTAAAGAGAAATTATGAATGAACTGTGACAACATCGAAATTACCGCCCTTCTTTCTGCAATTTTTGAATGAATATTCCAAGTGCAAAACGGTATAGCAACAAACAAACACCGACGCCCCGTAATAAAGATCACCCTTGATTGAATCTTGATGGATGACGTAGGTACCGTAGTTCAAGAGCGGCCCCCCAAAAACTACCTACGAGGTAGTTTTTGACCACCAAATAATTTTTTCTACCCCCAAATTTTGGCTTCCCGAAAACTACCTACCCCAAATAAATTCACAGAACAGACACTGTCAAGGTCAGGGTGCTATCAGGATCTCGAAGCGTGGGGACCGAGGCATGTGCCAGAAACAACTTTAATTGTCACTGCATTATCCCTTCGTTGAAGTACTATGTATAAATAACTATTACTTCATTTCACTTATTAGAATATTATAATAAATTTTTTGTGTGTATCAGTAGCCCTTTTGTATTGAAACCGTAAATGTTACACAAAAAAATCGAAATAAAAGTTTTCCCCCGCCTGAGTAGACCAGCTCGTGAAAAACGACTGTACCTAAAGTAACACGACACGACCGACGGGAATTAGGCCAAAGACTGTGAATTGTTTCCGAGTGATTAACGCTTTGAGGGTTTGCTGTAATTCACATAACAAAGTACTCGAGCTATTCATTACGGGCTACTAACTCACCAGGCAGTAACTACTGTAGTTTATAGCTGATTTCCACGAGAGTTGTATCAATAATCGTTTTTAATTTGATGCAGTTCCGAAGTTATAGAACAGTATTATTCCTTTCAACTTTGCCAACTGCATTGTTTGCAAACTTCGGTATGATAAATCGCTTCATAGAGTGTCATTTCCTTAAAAAGATTCAAGCTGTTTCACTGCTTGACCATAGATCTTCAGTTGCGTCAGCAAATTGGCAGCATCGTGACGAGGTAATTCTCATTGTATTAGGAGCTCAATGTGAATACACCTTTCCTTCAGTCAATGTGAATACTCCTTTCCTTCACTCAATGTGAATGCACCTTTCTTTCACTCAATGTGAATGCACCTTTCCTTCAGTCANACACATCTAGATGTGTATAAGAGACGTGAATACACCTTTCCTTCACTCAATGTGAATGCACCTTTCCTTCACTCAATGTGAATGCACCTTTCCTTTTGTGAAGGTTCGGAATATGACCTCTAAATTTCAGGTAGTAAATTTTATCAGAAACTCTATTATTCTGCTCTCGTTATGCATAAAACAAGAAAAAAGCCTTAAGTGATAAACATAAACCTCCCTACTCATAGAATGCAAGGGGTCGTTATCAAACCATTACCACATTTAAGGAGCGTTTAGCCCAAAACTATGCTATCGCATTTATTTTTTCAGTCGCCCTCAGCTTCTCCTCAAAAATAATTGATTTCATTACAGACCTGGATTTCATTACGCGATAACAGCACACATCGACTTGAACTAACTTTAACATCCTTAAGGCAGAAAGGAAAAGGCGATGTCACTAAGCGAAAATACGTCACTGTGCAACGTTAATTAATAAAGCGTTTTTCAAGTTTACCGTGGCCCTGTTTCTGAAAGTGCTCCTTTCTTTATTGACTGTTTAGATGCAGATGACATCTGTCAAAATTAGTTGTTGAAATTAAAACGCCATATATAAGTTGGGCTTCTAACTTTCTATCTGAAGCTTGCAAACGCAAATTTACTCTACCTTCTATATATATAGTACATCAATTTTAACTAGAAAATTTGTATCCTTTTCATTGTTCGTCGAATTTTCGAGCAGTTTTGTTCACTGGTAATCTGTCACGAATTACTCATGCACAAATATTGATATCCTCTTATCTGGCTATTTTGATTTGCCAATTCACATTGTTCATCGACGCTCTGATAATATCTTCTCCTGTCTAATTATAAACGAATTATCTCAATGTGCAGATAGATTCCGGAAAAATCTATTCATGAACATGATATGTTAGTCAACTATTATTATAGAAACACAACAATCACCCTTATGGCTTTAGAGAATAAGGACCCACGAATTATCGCAACAATTAAAGCAAGGTTGCTTGCTTTAATTGTTTCGATAAACAATTTAATTGCTGCGATAAACAATTTAATTGCTGCGATAAACAAACAATGCTTGCGGCCAACATCACTTATGTGAGCTCAGGTCGGCCGTTATCATGAACTCATGATTGATGAGGAACAAGTGCTGATAATGGACAAGTGCTGATAATGGAGAGCCTCAGTTGCAGGCACTCACTCGGGACGTACAGAAGCTGTTCGCTCCATTCAAACGCTGGTTATCAGGTTCGTTGATTATCTGCTTTGAATTTGTAAGTTGTAATCCAGGTTTTTATGGAGGTTGTTTGGTTCAATGCAAAGTTTCTGTCACTAATTAAGGATTATTTCAATGAACTTTTTCGATGTTTGTTATTAAAACACACTCCGGTATATGACTCCACAAGTTATAGAATCAATTTTTCCGCTGAATGAAATTTGTCGGTAATCGATAATTTATTGTCGAAACATTCATTCAATGGGACGTTTTTAATTAAAATCAAGAAATTTGCTTATATATTATATTTCCCATTCCAATTTAATTTTCAATGTAATTGTGCCTTTAGTCACTATATTTGGTTAATCAATTTATTAATTGAATACTTCCTCCAAATATTGATGTACTGAATAACGGTTGATGAAGTTATCCTCAACTTGCCTATCTCTCGAGGATGGACTTCTACTTCCACCCCGCGTCTGCCCCGTGTCGGGCGTGTCAGCTCACGGCCAAGGCTCTGGGGGTGAAATTCAACCCCAAGGAAGTGGACCTGATGAAAGGGGAACAAAATAACCCCGAGTTCCTGGCAATCAACCCCATGCATTGCGTGCCAACCCTCGTTGATGGCGATTTCACTCTTTGGGAAAGGTAGGAAATTAAAAAAAACTCCTGTTGTTATGAAACACATATGAGATAATCAGATAAATAGGGACGAAATTAAATCTTGTGTTTCTTCACGCTTTTGAAATTTTTTTGAATGTTTAATCTCAGAAAGAGGTTAAAAATCAAAATGAAAAATACCCAATTTTAACCTAACTTAGAATATATCTTCATTTCAAAGACATAGAAATATATGAAATCTAACCATCAATTAAATTTTCTATCGACATCCATTGTCGGACAAACTCCAACGTAAGCGCGTCTTGACTTTTGAAAAATTTATGTTTTTATTGTGTCGACGGGATAGTAGAATTTTGCTAGATGCGTATAGTAACTGATTGCCCAGATTTCAGTTCATTAAGAAAGATCTGATGCACGTCAACCAGCTCTTCGACATGGAGCTGATAGATTACACTATGTAGAGCACCCCTTACAATAATAATAACATATTTTAATAGTCTATGAACAGCCTCGATCTTCCCCACATATCGCATATGTGTTCAAAAAAAGACGCATTGGTTCAGAGATGTTTCATTGGTCATCGTCTTGGTAGTTGACGTGTCATGTTGAAGGTTTTAAAGTTTTAATGTTCCTATTCAACAAAATCAATGCCATTTAAATAGTTGATTGTAAAAATTGATACAACAGCACTGCGTTAGTTGACTATAAAAGTGTAAAGCCACACTGTAGAGTAAACGTATGTGTAAAAATGAAATTACAATTTCAGGTTAGCTTCATGATCTAGTTCAAGGGAATGAAACTTATAATACGGAATGTATGATTAAAAAATTGTCTCATTTGAAGGACAGACGCTGAAAATTAATTGGGGCTGTCCCATCAAGACTATAATGTGAATGAAATTTTGTTTTCAAACAAAAAATCATGAGATCGTCGAAAATGGAGTAGAGCAGTTTTTAAAAATTGAAATTTGATTTATATCTTTACATTCGCAAGTATATAATTGATTCACAAATGAAATATTTCTAGATTTCTTTTAATTTTTTCACAGATGGTAGATACTATAGATCAGTCCTTAGTTCTTATGTTGTTTTTGAACGGTTTATTAATTGTATTAATTAACACTCAGTCCGTGCTGGGCCAATCTACTCCAATCTACTAATTTTTGCAGCTGATTGATCCGAAATTTTGGCAAGACTCAGGACTGCTGTTAGCTCTGGAGTAATATTGTAGTTTTAATGACGGCTCATATCGATATCTCTGTTAAATGAATGACGACATCAGCATTCAAGTGTCATCTCCACCTGTATTGTCCTCCTCTGCTTAGATGGCACTGTTCTTTGTGCTGACGATATAAACAATTTCCATAGACCAGGAACAACGTTCAACGATCACTCGCGAGCTTTTAGTTGCTTTAATCATTTGCCATAGGAAATGGAGGCCCCACTTTTGTCTTTTTTCTGCTTATTTTCTTCTATTTTCTTGTTTATATCTACTCCCCAATCTTCTAACGATTTTGGATCTCCGTTTAGTTTTTTTCATTCATGTGCTATAGCTCCTAGCTGGAGATCTATTAATAAAGGTAGCGTTGGATCTACTTTTTTATTGCGGCCCAGCCATCTTTTTTAACTGTACTTCTCTTAATTTTAATTTTCTTAAATTCCCTTCCCCTCGTCCAAAATTTCCTCATGAGGCAAAATATCTATTATGAAGCCTTGCATCCCTTCGAACGAGGTCTTCTTAGTTTTGATTCTCAATCAAGTCAGTATGTAGCAATATTGATCATTTATTTGCAATACCTTCTATATTTTTATAATATATTTGAAGTCTCGACTATCGAATGAATGCAACATCGAGGTGAACAATGCGTTGGCAATATTGTCTCCATGCACCACTATCTCGTTTTGAGAGCTCGTTAGTGATTATTATGGTTTATCTTATCAGTGCTTACGTGCACTTATACATGATGGTCCAAACACTTTCATCACCTCGATATTTTCCTGATAATATCGGTGAAAAATTGTGAGAAAATAGTTTTTATCTTCTGATGGTCAGCTCTATAGTGTCCTCATTATAGACAGGGTAAATGGCGACAAGAATTAGGTAATTCATTTGTGTAGATGATAGGAGTAGATGATAGGAGTAGATGATAGGAGTAGATGACAGGAGTAGATGATATCTTTTGTATTTCAGTTAAAATATTTTACAACATCTAAAACAAAAAACGTGGGGCGCATATGTATTTAATTGTTTGGTGATTACTTGATATGATGAATATGATGGTTCATTGAACATTTGATAAGTGTATTGCTGATATATCTGATTTGAGCAAAATTTGTTATTTACTGTTGGTATATTGATTTATCATGTTTCATCCAATATAGGTAGTGTGTATAAGTAATTCAAGCAAGTAAAGATATGAATCATGAATAACGCAGATCAGGGTATGTGAAAATTTTAAAAGAATCAAATTTTGAGAATTTTAAATGAACGCGTGGACTATATCTAATCAATTTAAGAGGCATATTAAGACATTTGAAAAGAAAATGCATTAAGTATCTAAATAGTTCACTATTAAATAGCTCACTATCAAATCTAAGGTATATGGAGTAACGAATAGTGATAGAAAAATTCGAAATAGTGGTTGAATTCAAAATTGAAATTAAGGCATGCCTAAATGAAGATGCGCCCCACGTTTTTTGTTTTAGATGTTGTAAAATATTTTAACTGAAATACAAAAGACCAAGAGAATGAAAGCAAACATGAGATCAGTAGCTGCCGTAAAATTATTTTCTACTTTTGAGTCCACATGAAAAACGTGGTCTTTAAAAAATTTTTTATACATTTTATTTATCGTGATTTTGTGCATCTTCTTTTCATTTGAAGGTCTCAACATATAATTATGAAAAGTCAAAGATACGTCAGGCCAATCGAAGATTACCATCTTCCTTTTTAGCGCATTTTCTCATTTCTGGAAAAAAATGCCCTATTGTGCTCGTCATGTCCGTCTGTCTGTCGGTCCGTCCGTCGGTCTGTCTGTCCGTGACATCATATTTTCGTCGACGAGAAAATTGCCTCTCTGTCACTCACTGCAGTGAGTACTGAGTTATATTTTTTTTAAATATAATATGCATGTTGGAAGAAAACAGTATTTTATCAAATAGAATTGACGGCTGAATTATAATAGGAGCGGCGATTATATCATCATATTGATATTACAACTATGATATATTGAATGATATTATCATCATTCGATTATTCGATTTTCCATATGTATAATTTCTTCTGATGATTTAGCGCAGGGAGCAATTATTTTCACGGTTTTTGATTTGACGCATTATTATATAGCATTTACAATAATAGTAGCAACATTTCCAAACAGCAAAATATGCCTTTGTGCAATCCACGACGAAAATGATCACAAAGCTGATTGTTCTCGGTTTTAAACATTTACCTTTCTTTTAGAAAGGTAAATGTTATATTCCATTTTCTCACCTACTTCACAGCTTATAAATGTCATCATGCGCTTATTTTGACTACCATGCAATCCCCTATAACGGTTACCTCAGTATCTATCCCCAGCAGCTATCTCAATCAATCGTTAGTTATGGAAAGATCGGGTTCAAAAGGCCGGATCCCTTGTGAATCAAGTCACGAAAAGTACACGAATCGGCAAGAGGCCATGGGCCTATTTCTTCAGAACCGACACTTCTATTCTATTCTATCTCACAAATACAATTTTTCAGTCGTGCCATTTGCGCGTACCTCGTCAACCAGTATGGAAAGGACGACAGCTTGTACCCCAAAGACCCCAAGACCCGAGCCCTGGTGGACCGATTGATGTACTTCGACATGGGTACTCTCACCAAGCGCTTTGGCGACTACGCCGTGAGTTTTTTTTAAGAAAATATATTTTAGCCGCATACGTGGCTAGTAAATTAAAGTCATCATTTTTGTCAAGTAGATCAAACATTAGGAGAATAATTATAATTGAACTATAAGGGTGAGATTGCGAGACAACGCCACGATCAAGTTCAAACTGGACTCAAGTGCGAGATCAGGCGAAGCGTCTTGGACAGACACTTGGCGTAGGAGAGACAGTTCAGGTTGTGCTTTAATAAGAACGAACTCAACCACATTAATGTGATACATGTCCATGAGACGTGAATGTATTTTCTTAATTTTAGATTGAAGCTTTGCTCTATTATTTATTCATGTTGTCTTGCTTCTAGGATTACCTGCTCGATTACAGCTTGAGTTTAGCGTAACCCAATATTTGATAGCTTCAAATCAACAATATATATGTGCCGATGTATCTTGTTCGAGGTTCTCAAATTCATGGAAATTTCTCAATATTGAATTCGAAGTCTTTTCGGTGATTTACCTATCGTGATGGTAGGTGAACTACCTACCAATCCTGAACTTCACGAATAGCTATACCGCCAAAGAAGAAGAACCCAGGAGTGAATTTTTCATCGTACAAGTTGGATGAAAATGGTCCCAATAAAGCTCCATTAATAAACAGATATTAAATAAAATCATTGTTTGATGGTGAATTTCCAAAAGGTAATTATCTTTCAGTACCCCACGCTCCTGGAAGGAGCCCCTGTGAAACCAGAGAAGCTGGAGGCCCTGATGGAAGCTCTGGAGTGGCTGGACAAGGACCTTGCGGGTAGAGACTATGTAGCGGGGTCAGCCCCGACCATCGCTGACTTCGTACTTGTGGCATCCGTGGCCACTATCGTTGCCTGTGGTAAATAATATACTTATATATTACCTTCGCACCGTTTTGTTTTAAACTTGTTTCTTTAATGTTTATTCTCGACCGAGAACTGCATAAACCCTATTTAATATTGAAAATTATAAAGCTGTGTCTTTTAGCAATTTTTTGTGCTCTTCCAACATTAAAATTTGCAAACGTTCAAATAATATTTAATTGAAAATAAGTGCTTTTTCGTGACTAATTAATCATTTTAAACAGTTTATCGTATACTTTATTTTTCAGCTGACTAGTTTTTTATCATATATAAAAATGACTAATGTATTAAATCTGTTTAATGACTAAATTAACTGATATGTGATTAATTAATTCTATATCAATCAAATCAGCACTATGTATTAATATCAATATCATAATATTAATACAGCTTCAATTAGTATCAACCATTATATTTATCATTTGATTTACGAGAATAACTTTCATATTCCTTGAAAAAATCAACAGGAGTGGACATTTCTGGGGTGACTAACGTGGCGGCTTGGTACGGTAGATGCAAGTCCAGCATGGCAGGTTTTGATGAGAACGAAGATGGCGCCAAAGGATTAGGTGACTACTTCAAGACGAAGCTTTGAAATACTTCGATGCTGCTAGTAAGGGGCACAGCTTTGGTTTGGATATGTTACAGTATCTTAAAATTTCCACAAGATTCCCCCTAATGATGAAATCATTGGTAAAACTCCTAGGATCTATAATCGCAAACGGTTCGTGCCACAGAGCGAATCTTCCATTTCCCGATACCCTTCGCATACGAAATGCACGTTTGTTCATCATATGCACTATAATATAGAGTATGTATAGACGGTTATCAGTGCTGCATGTGATATCTATTCTGCAGGCAAAGTTAATTTCCAAATAAGAGAAAATTTCGAAAAACTAATGCAGCTGCCCAAGTAATGCATGTCGTCCATTTCAGTACATTTTTTTCAGTCTATTCAACCCACAAGAAAATTTCAATTTTTTCACATGTATTTAAAAAACATTCTTATTGCTTTTGATGTGAGGCATATTAATAAACTATTGGTAAATCTTTATATATTTATCATCCTTTTTTTGGCGATCTAGCGGCCTAGAGAAAAACGCTCAAACTGAATTCAAACAAAAATCCAATCCGAAATTTGATCCCGCTTGAGATCTCAGCTCTTTGTGATTTTCAGACTTTTTTTATTCATATTTTGACTTTTAGTCTTTTTTTTTACTTCTAGTCCAGTCTGACATTTACCCCATTCCATTTACTTACGTATTATGAGACATTAAAATCATACGAAATCATCTCATTTCATGGTAATTTCAATTCAAGCTGCTTCTTTATATTGTATTTCGGGATGAAACGTTCACTCTAGTTAAAAAAAATCATGCTTTTACTTACTCGTTGCTTAAACCTGGAGGGCCTACACCTTCATCCTTGCACTAGATGTGAAAGGCGCACTCATTATACATGCTATTGAATATTAACTTGTATTAGTTATAACATTCGTTCTTAGGAACAATATCATTTACAACACTGTTCTTATTTCGCTGATGGTTAAACTTTCCATCTGTAATTCTGAGCTGGCTATAACCCATCAGTTTGCTCGCTTTTCGTGCTGAAACCTTATTTTAATTTACTCTGGCATAACAAATCGATGAATACCTAGACAAATGATCAAACATTGTGGCGATACACAGCCTGTTTATCGCCAATGTAGTATCATCTTGACAAGAAATATTGTATCGCATCTCAAACAATCCACGAGATCAATTTCTAGTAAATAGTCTTACTCAAATCTCAACTTATGAACTTCTCATGTCATGCTCGTCTAACTAGTATTCCAAATTCAGGTATGATAATTAAGAATGTGCACTTTTTTCATATTTGTTCCACGAATTTGATTACATCGTTTCCATTGATATTTAGAGAATTGGTACTTTTTTACGCAGGTTAGGTTAGGTTAGGTTAGGGCGTAATTAAGGAATTCAGGGCGTAAAGGTTAAATGCCCAATTGTCGATTTAATTCACATAACTCCTCCGCGCGTCGAAATTATGCTACTCATGAAAACGCTCGTTTCGTGCAATTATTTAATCACAGATACAACATTATAATTATTCCTACGCTAAATGACACTCAATTAATGATGAAAAATTCTTAAAACCAGTAAATGAGTGACTGCAAGTGATAGGAGGTGTACGTATAAGCTCAATCCGGGAACTTTGAAATTACGACCTGATTTGCACTGCACCGAAAACTCTACTCATCCACGGAAAAATTTGCGCGTGTATTATGGTTTACCAACTATCAATAAAACGCGTATCATAATAGATATGTGACGTCGCACGTACATGTGGTTCCCACAGCACCTAGCTGACCATTGCAATGGTTGATGACAGACTTCAGAAAAGCACTTAGAACGCTTAAATAACGCAAAGAATTTGCTCTAAATCAGTTTAATAGTCCATAGTTAGTAGGTTAGTTAGTTCACACTTGCGTATAAATTTAGGACGTAGCTTGCCGTGAAAATGTTTTAATAATATTACAATTTACGTCTAGTTTGGAGTGCTTACGCAACACGTAAGTCGCTACATTTACGTCTAGTTAGAAGTGCTCATGCAACACGTAAGTCGCTACATTTACGTCTAGTTAGAAGTTCTTACACAACACGTAAGTGTTACAAAACACAACATGCACTTAGCGATGTTTTTGGTACATCGGAGGGCCATATAATCGAAAGAATATGAAAGAAGCTATCGCTATATAATAAGAAATATTGCAATGATGCCACAAGTGTTCGGTTGCAATGTAATGATTGAACAGTCTCATTATAAGCAATCGGCTGCAGAGCACAATACTGTGTTTTGGCAATGTTCAGGTGTACAGTGTTCGTTACTGTAGTCGGTACTACGTTATGCTGGGCTATGTTCCCGTTTTTGTTACATCGTAACCTAATTTTTTCATTTTATCATATGTTTTCGATAGCAGTGCTCCGAGAACTGCTAAAACTGCATGACTATGTCAGTGGGTATGAAAATTTCATGTACATATTTTACTGATGATAAAATATTTTAAAATTTTAAACGATTGTAGCATCATATTTTAGAATAGCCAAAGATATTTATATTTTCGCGTGAGTTAAAGTGATCTCAACATTAAATAATTGCCGCATACATCGGTGAAATAGAGAGAAAATTGCCAAGAAACTTTATCAATTGTAGTTAAATCAGCGCACCACCATTGTTCAAAAAAGGTGACAGAAGCAGCCCTGGTAACTATCGCCCTGCCAGTCTGACAAGTGTTGTTTGTAAGTTAATGGAACCTGTTGTGAGGGATAGGATTATCGATCAGTTGACTGAAAACCATCTCCTATCAGACTGTCAACGTGATTTTATTGCCGGTAGATCCTGCACCACTAACCTCTTTTCTACGTTGAACGATTGTACTCGCCTGCTGGACGAAAGGGAGCCAGTGGATGCATTGTACCTCGATTATGCCAAAGCATTTGACAGTGTTTCGCATAAGCGGCTGTTGCGTAAATTGAAGTCTTTGGGAATTGATGGAAATGTACTCAAATTGATCAGAGATTCTCTTGTAGGGAGACGACAACGTGTCAGTATTAATGGGTCCGTATCAGACTGGGCTTCATGTGCGCAGCGGCGTGCCACATGGATAGCGTTCTTTGGCCTGTTTTATTCGTTGCGTTTTTGTTCGTTGCGTTTTTCCATGTATGCCGACGACACAAAAGTTTATAATACAGTGAAGGATGCGTCAAATAGAGCGCAATTGCTAGATGATCTTGACAGTTTAGTTAACTGGGCTGATAATTATAAGTGGCAGCTGCGTTTTAATGCCGACAAGTGTAAAGTACTTCACCTCGGGAAGAACAATGAACAGCAAGATTACAGTATGCGAAGACATGGTTGCAACGACAGAGTAATAATAGAAAAGTCTAGTGTGAAAAAAGGTTTGGGAGTTCATGTCGACAAGGAGCTGAAATTTTCTAAACATGTTAAACGCAAGCTAATAAATCCAACAAACTTCTTGGACTAATCAGACGCATTTACGAGTTTCTAGATGCAGAAGCGAAGCGGTTGTTTGTTGCTGTCTTGCGCCCTAACTTAGAGTTTGGAAATGCCGTGTGGTCACCGAGACTTGAAAAGGACAAAAATTAAAAAGAGAATATTCAAAGACGTGCAACAAGGATAATTCCAGGCTTGAAGGACAAGTCATATGAAGAAAGATTAAGATTATGAAGCTTGCAAGGCTCTGTTATCGACGTCTGCATGGTGACCTCATTGAAGTATACAAGTATGCTCATGGTTTATACAAGGTCCCCGAAGGATTACTAGAATTTGAAACAAGAACTAACACCAGGGGCACGACTATAAACTAAAAAAACTGCGTTGCAACTCATCCTCGCGACAACATTTCTTCTCGCTTCGAATCACCGACATGTGAAACAGCTTCCCCGATTACGTCGTTGACGCTCCGAGTATAAACGCGTTCAAGAACAGTCTAGATAAAGCTATGTAAAAATATATGTTCAGACTTGAAATGCCTAGAACCATGTCGAACCCGGTGGAAGTCTAGTAGCTATTTCAAACTATCGTCAGTCTTGAAAAAATCCGGTACATGCTTTTGGATCTTCTGTGAACAAGTCACGAAAAGTACAAGAATCGGCGACAAGCCACATCAGGCCTACTCTTTGGCACCGACATCGCTATGTTATGTTAACTGAAAATCTTTAATACGTTACTTCCGCTTAGGCCCCTTTCACACAGGGCGAAAAATACCGCCAGCGTCTGACGGTATTTACCGCCGAACCTCAGCGGACATACAAATGTGCACTGCTGTTTACACACGATGGATTTTAACGCGGCGTAGAATTTGACGCCTGACGCCCGCGTGTGTCCTGCTAAAACTGCGGCGGTAGATTTGCCGCGACACTTTAGCTTGCAGTGATATTCAATGTAATCTTTCACACTGGGCGGTTTTTGACGCCACATCCTAGTGTGGCACAGACAGTGGGGCCGTATTCAAGGTGCATAATAAACAGCACTGCAAGACTGATAGATTATAGACTGATATTGTTACATAAACATAAAGCTATACTGTATTGATAAATATATATTTCCATAATGTGATGAAGATATATTTCATGAAAAATATATTTCCATAGAGAAATATTGTTACATAAACATAAATATTGTTACACATGCATAGAGATGGACTGATGGTGCATAAAACAGCTTCGCACGACTGATAGATTCAATCGTTAAAAACCGCCTCGTGTGAATGATTACGCGGCAAATACTGCTGCGTTATTTTTGACGCTGGCGGCATTTGCCGAAACTGTGTGAAATGGGCTTAGGAGTTCTCTTTTTATTCAAATTTAGTCCGAGGAGTTAGAGGACGCGTTGTACTTGAAGCAGAGAATCTTGAGCTCAGAGTTCTCGTCGACCCCTTGTATCTGCTGTGACCAGGTCATGACGGTACCACTAAGCTTTTCTCCGTAGGTGACTTGGGGCAACGGCCCATCATCGTCCAGGAAGTGCGAGTAGTTCAACCAACGTCGAACTCCGCCGTCCTCGCGCACCAAAGGAATCCAGATGTATTTGATCCCTGAATAACAAATTTCCACTTTTGGAACAAATTCGTGGTTGAAAAATGATCTAAAAAGGATCGGAAAATGGATACAATGAGGATCACGTTTTGCCCAAGATGGCCAAAGTTATGTATCGTTAGATGAAATTGATATAATATCTGTTGTCTGTTGTTTTATTCAGCTAGCAGTTGCCGCTGTTCTCTCTTTAAGGAGGGTTTTGCTAAGACTCAACTTTTGACAGGATTGAAAATTTATAAACTGTTGGCCCTAGTTTCCCCATAAATGTTCTATATTAGATGAAATGGAAAATTGCTGACATTGAAAATAATCATCATCACCTCGGCCAGTGATAATAATAATAATAGCGGATTCAGCGTTAGTAGGCCGTAGGCCTGTCGCCGATTCTTAACGTCGCAGAATATCCACAGCTTCTTGCGGTCTCGAACTCGCAGCTCACTGCTTCAATATTGCTTCGCTTAACCGCCCGGCCTCCTCGCCGATTCTGACCAGAAACTGGCGCGTAGAGCTGGGATCGAACCCGCGCCTCTCTGCTCCAATCTTGGTACACTGAACTTTATCTACTGGGCCACCCTGCCCACTTCAGAACACATGTGCTGATGACATTATGACACTTCAGAACACATGTGCATATGCTCTTGATATGAAACTCTACATTCTACATTATGTATACCAAGTTTCTCACCCGGCAAAGGCCAGAGCAACTTCACAGCCAGCCAGTCTTGGTAGGAGAGGATGAGTCCAGGCAGTGCGGCCATCTTGCCACACGCCTGCCAGAAGGTGGTCACGTCAGGCCGTGGGTACGACAAGTTGGTAAGAAGGTATTCTTTGGGCTTCCCTGTGGAGGTAAGAGAGTGCAACAGAAGTAAAACTATGTGCAAAATCAATTCATTACTGTCTGTATCTTGAATAAAATCCTGTTTTCATTAACCAATTGGTGAGGTCTCTGTGAAACCTTGCTTTTCCGCTGTCATATCGAGAGACTTAAATGAAAACTACGACCAAGAAACCCCACCGTTCTGGCAAAATGTTTGCCGTTGCAAGTAGAGCGATTTGTAAGGTTGTCTCGATCGCGTATAATTCCCTATGGTTTCAGAACAATTTATCTGAACGAATTTCAGATTCTAAATTGAATAACTCCTCAAATTTGGAGGCAAAGAAGGCGAATGAAAATAAGGCATTATTCCAGTAGCCTAAGGATAGTGATATTTTTTACTTTAATTATTTGAATTAAAATATTTTATTGAAAATAAATTTAATTATTAAACATAAATTAAATTATTTAATATCAATTTATTCAACTAGTAGTATGTAATATCGAAATAAAGTTGGCGCTCACTCTCCTTGAAGTAGGTGATGACGTTAGGCTTGTTGTCAAGGTTGCGCTGGACCTCCGTCATGTTGCTGTAGGTGCACCGCCACAGCGACGACTTCTGTACGAGAGGCTCGTAGCTATACGCCGCGCACGCCACTTCACTCACGCACTTACGACGACATTCGCCTGTGATTTAATAGAATATAAGAATAGAAGTGTCGGCATTGAAGACAATAGGCCCATGGCCTGTTGCCGATTCCAGGCCTTTTGGCTAGTTTTTTTTACAATTAATACGTTCTCAATAAAAGTGAAGACATTATATATAGAATAGTAGTGTCGGCACTGAAGAAATAGGCCCATGGCCTGTTGCCGATTCTTGAATTTTTCGTGACTTGATTCACAAGGGATCCGGCCTTTGGAACCCGATCTTTCCTTAACTGACGATTGATTGAGATAGCTGCTGTACTTAATTATGGGCATTACAAAACAATTAATATTCATGACAATATCTAATTGAAGTTAAATATTTTATGGATTCTCTGCGTTGTTAATGGAAAAAAATGTTAAGAGAATGTAGCATATGTGAGCGAGTATTGAGATCATTTATTGGCATGCCGTTTTTTTCAGACACATTATCTGATGAAGTTAAATATTTAACGGGTTCCGGTGTTTATAATAAAAAATTATTCAGAAGATGTTGCATATAAACGAGTATTGGGATCAATTCATGCAGCCGTGCCCTACACGACTTCAAGCATCTCGTTTATTTTTATTCTAGGCGAAGCGATTCTTGAAGCTTTGTCCTGAAAAGCGATAAAAATAGAAAAGAACGGTAAAAATAGAACGGTAAATATAAGTAAAGAGATAAAAATGAAAAGATGAAAAATATAAAAAGGCTATACAAATCGAGAAAAAAAACGATGAAAAAAAACGTTACAAAGAAATACGATGAAAAAAGCGTTACAAAGATATAATGAAAATATGAAAATGAAAAGTAAAAAAAAAATAAAAAGTGGTCAAAATCAAGACAATTTTCAAGACGAGACGACACGAACAAAATATTAGTTATATATACAACCTACCGAAATTTACATTTTCTTTGCGAAGACATAGTTTATTCCAGAGAGGACTGGTATATATAGCTTAGCCGTCTGCCTGACAAATTTAACTTGGTTATTGCTCATACTAAGCTTGATAATTTGACTTATCTACCATTATTCAGTAATTAAAAAATTTGCATCAAGTAATATTTGAATTAAATATACACTCTTTTGAATTGAGATGAAAGTAATTGCAAAAAATAATATTCAAAATATATATTGAACATTTAGGATTTAAATAATTTTTTATATTTTCATTTTTTAGTTAATTTTAGCAAAAAAATCATAGCACCAGCTTCCATCCTCAAGTCTGCCTGCAAAACTTACAGCCCAGTTGAGTCGGCAACCAACATCTTGCCAAATTAATCTACCCATCTGATTATTAAAATTAAAGATACTATTTTGAAGGATATGTATTTATTGAATTATCGAAAGAAATTTATAATTGATCCATGATCCGCGCTTGCAGAATATCTCGTTCTGTCTCGCATCACAACCACATCAGGCCTACACTTCAGCGCCGAGATCAATATGTTACCTTAATATAATGCCTCGTAATAACATAAGCTTTTAACGATTGCATCTTCATTGTGTATGAAATTCATTACATCTATAGACTGAATAAATTAAAACAAAATCTCGTATTTTGGTTCAACTGAGACACGCATTAGTTAACTACTAGTTCACTCACTACGGCTCTGTACCAGTTCGCTGTAGTAGGGATCAGGGATGGCATAGTTAACCGTCATCAGAAAATCGTAACGAAAGTGCCACACCATCTCACCATCCTCCACCAACATCATCACCACCACCATCACCATAAGTCCGGGTAAAGGCAGCTTCAGCAACATCTGCACGGGAAATTTTTTCAGAAAAAATATATTATTTCTATACTGGCTGTCAATTCTCAACCATCCATCAACCTTGTAGGTGTTTCTTCGGTTTAAATTATTTAATGTGAAAAATAACACCAGATTTTTGCATGTGCAGATAAAGTTGCTGATAGAGCAGCTTGTTGACCTGGCGCATAAATATTTAATTTGCCGATCATAGAGCGATTGTGTGAGTAGGAGGTTAATATTAGAGCAATTCAACAGGAGTAGCAGGTTAAGTCTAAGAGGTACGTTAACAATAATTGTTATATAGTGGACTACAATGGACAGCTTGGTATAGCGTGAATAAAATTCTACTTCACTGCCTCGGAATAAAGTGCGGAGACATCTGCGCACTGAAGAAACAGTGTAAAATGCTATGTTATTAGTGATAATGTAATGAAATCATTATCATAAAGCAGCTACTGGAAAAGCCCGTAAACAAACAAATTTCTATGACACGTGCAAATAAATAATATTATTAATTACGTTTTTCATAATTTTTGCCTTCCTTCCGATATAAAAGAAAATTAATTCATATTTGCTTTAATTTATCAAGTTCTATTCTCAATAAATTAAGACATAATCATGACTATCAAGTGAACTGAAAGCGCTAAAGTTCCGAAAAAGATGCCTACCCGTATGATGCCATGCCTCACAATCAAAACGATTGCTACCCGTATTAACTTTTTTTCATACCATATAGAACTCCGATTTAACCCCCGTTTCGAATTACAAAAAAACTGTTTCAAATCTTTATTTGTGATAATCTTAAGATTGAATTTCAATTTGTTCTGCAATCCTCGCATCCTTTCTTCTAATCCTTTCCTATTCTATGAAAAAATGGACATGAATAGGACATGAAAAAATAAATAAAAAATAAATAAATGGACATGAAAAAATTTTCAGGTCCAGATATACACTATCCCCCAACGATATGTATCCTGGATGAGCGCCAGAATTATCAGCCCTTATAAAAAACACAGCGCAAGGCTCCAAACACACAAACAGACCTATATACACAAACACATAGAGATATAATTATATAAGATAATATATGTTCAGTCTTCAATTCCTGACGCGCTTAGAACGATATCGGGTCAGGATCTAATTAACATGCAGCATTGGACACACGAACTTACTTCGCTGAGCTTCCTCGACGATCTGTGAACAATTCATGTATGAGCGCCCGGTGCCCAATAAGCACGCTAGTTCAACACACTAAAGTTCGTGTCTGACCTCGTCTCATGACATCGATTTAATGCATCCGTGATTCGGGGAGTGAATATCAAAAGCTTTATCGACGCAGGTCCGTTGAGCATTCGGCTATTTCGGTGAATTTCTTTCTTGTTGCAAACTGACGATGACCTCGGGTGTTCATGGCAACCCCAAACAACAGACTCGAGGTTTTCAGGGCATGCCTAATTTTCTGTTATAAATTGTATTTCTTTCGTTGATCTTAAAGAAATTTTAAGTTTTTTTGTCGCCTGACGGCGGATGAATAAACACGGGTATAGGATCATATAAGGATAAAAGGGTTGGTACGATTCCCAATGGCTGTCGAATCGGGAAAACCACGATCCGAAATTTTTTAGTTTTTGAATTATAAATGAAAAATATATTTTGAAAGAAAACTTGAGTCATAATTCAACCTTAAACATATTGGAACTCCATTTATATTAAAACTTGAATAAAAAGGTTCTTTTTGCACGAGTTAAATGTTAAGTTTCTCCGAAATCGAATTCGGTAGGGAAATATAAATAGAGAAGTCGGAAAATTTATTTGATTAAAATATTCTCAAAACTGAGAGACAATATATCCATCTCAAACAAAATACTTATAACGCGTTGGTACAGCACATTCTCAAGCCTAATTACGATAATTTTTTACAATTGTGTCACTTTTCTCCAAAATGCAGTTACTTTATAAATAAAATCAGGAAGCTGTCGTTAGGTGCAACACAATTTTCTAGTCACCACTGGAGCTCCATATATACAAATTTTGATTATACTCTACGGAGTTAATTTGCAGTTTCGAAATGAGTTGAAAACTAGATTCTATGATAAATTATAAATTGTAAGATAAAGAAACATGAATTTTTGGTTCTTTCAGTCGAGCTTTCAGGAGTTGAAACCTGATTCTATAACAATTATAAATTGTAAGATAAAGAAACATGATTTTTTGGTTCTTTCAGTCGAGCTTCCAGGAGTTGAAACTAGATTCTATAACAATTATAAATTGTAAGATAAAGAAACATGAATTTTTTTGTTCTTTCAGTCGAGCTATCAGATATCACGCTCACACGTATTTGTATTTGATTATATATTTATATCTTTATTTTAAGCTGTAATAGTCATTACAAAATACTTATCAATGCAGCAAGAGCAAACTACCGATCAGATGAAGAAAAAGTTCATAAAAGAGAAGCACTTATATGCCCTATTTCAGCTTAATTAACTTCAACTGTTATTTAAGTAGTTTGAATAAAAAGTCTGCTGATGCTCAATTTTTAAACACAACTGAGGTTTAAGATATTGTGTGAATTTTTACTAGGGTTACAATCTATGTCATAAACTTACTGCGCACATAGATATCATTTTATTCATCTTGAATTTAGTTACGCTTGAAATTGCAATTATTCCACTCAGTAATAAAGTCAATATAATTATAAAGCTAATTAAAAAGTATAAATTATAGTAGTAGTAAGTTAATAGTATAATATTTATACGCAGTATAAAGTTAATTCAAAGACTGCATATATGAGGAGACACGTGTAGTGCCAGGTGTCATGGCGTGACGCGCTCATCACCGTGATTCTGAATGCAATTTCTGCTGAAATTCTCGTGAATATCTTGGCAGGTGCAGTGAGGGCTTCATTCGGTCTTTGCAATCATCATTATAGATGTTTTATTATCTTAACTACACGGCAATTACTCTAACAAGGATAGTAAAACATAAGCAATGGAAGACACAGAACTTATATATCGTGCAGCCAGTGCTGAAGGCCACAATTGGCCACCATTTTTTTTCGACATTTACACTTATGCTCCAGCCTATTTATGACCCCCAGAATTTTCTATAATTTTCTGTCAGTTTATGTCTTCAGAGGTGACAATTTCAGTCTCTGGCATTAGTGACAATTTCAGTGTCTGGAGCCCCAATTTCACGATTCACTCCTGAACATCTCCAACCAGTAATTTGTCGATCACAAAACAACTTTTATTCGAGTATAATAAGTTGATTGATAAAATAAAAATTTGGAAACTCGTCATGCCAATAATTTTTGTAGAATCTTGAGCTATTTGATTTGAATTTGTAGATTCTTGAGCAGATGTCTAAACGTGGTCAATGTTATTCATATCTAAATGTCTGGTAACTAGGGCTACCCTCAGTAAACCACGAGGGTTACCGTCATAGACGAGGGTTAAGATCGTTTATTAATTGAAAAGATTAACCGTCGTAGATTAAGATTGTGATTGAGAAGTACTTGAGATGCAAATTACACTCGTGGATTTTACGACGTTGATTAACACATAAACGAAATAAAGTTGAAAGCAAATTATTTTCAATCAAGAATATTTATCTGGGGTTGTTAAGAAACTAATGAAAACTATATGCTCAACAGCTTTTAGTGAATGCGATATGAAAAAAATGAAGCGAAAAAATATTCATCCGATATTGTCAGGCGTTAAACATTACACAGATTAAGTACAAACGAACCATTACTCAACGTGAATCTTACACACACACAAATGATATATTATGTCCAAATAACGATGCATTTCCTGCCCTTCTGAGAGTCACCCTGACCCAGTTTTTCCCGGCAGAAGGACGTATCAGTGCTACATACCGCAAGTGTGTCGCTATTGTGACAAATGTCCCATTCATGTTTCTAAGTGTAGCTGTCTTCGTTCTCAGCCAATCAGGCGCCGTTACTTGGTCACGTGACCAGTTACTGGCCGCCACTCGCTAATAGTCCATGAAGTAGCCCTCTACACGAGACCACTAGCCCATTAATTAGTGGCAGTTAGTAATAGCCACATATAATGGCTGCTTTAACTGGCCCCGTATAAAGCACCTTAGGTGTCAGCTGCTATATAGAAGCTTTCTCCCTTCAAATTTGTTCTCAATTTTAAGTAAGATTTTGCATCGTAAAATTTCTAAGATGTTTGAAAATTATTGAATGTTTATAACAAATTAATTGGTAAAATAAATGTATTAAATTTTAAATTAGTAATTAGCATGTATATATGTCATCAGCGTATATATGTCATCAGCGTATAATTAGCATGTATATATGTCATCAGCGTATAATTAGCATGTATATATATGTCATCAGCGTCGCAAGCTCTTATATAATTGCCCGGGACTTTTCGTCTCGACAAAATCTTACACAAAATGTTTACAATTATCCCAAACTTCTTGTGTCGTCTCGAATAAGAAAATACCTAACGCAGGAGTCTAAAGTTAGCGATCCTGTTACAACTCTAAGTGTTGTGTGGCGCAATATTTGAGTATATAAACTGAGAGAAAGACGTCAGCCTTTCCGACGATATACGCATGTAATTAACAGGACAGACGTCAGTCAGATGATATACGCCTGCTATTAACAAGACAGACGTCAGTCAGACGATATACGCCTGTTCTTAACAGGACAGACGTCAGTCAGACGATATACGCCTGCTATTAACAGGACAGACGTCAGTCAGACGATATACGCCTGTTATTAACAGGACAGACGTCAGTCAGACGATATACGCTTGTTATTAACAAGACAGACGTCAGTCAGACGATATACGTCTGTTATTAACAGGTTTGTTCGATGAAATATATAGATAGGGTGAAATAAGCAGGTATTATAAAATAAACATTTATTAGGACCTAATCAGATATCAATATATACTCATACCGGTGAATCGAGTTCGTAAATTAAATAGCGTAAGAGTTAAGGTATTATAAACGCTGACGTCAAAAATTACCTCATGACAAGCCGTAAAATTTTGCCAATTGAACTTATTGAATTGTCAAAATTAAATATTTCATGTGCAATATAAAAAAATGAAAATAGAAAGCTGCATAGAATTAAAAACATGTTGACCAAGGTCGCTGCACCAAAGCCCTTCGGTCGGATCTACATTGCTTATGACGATTTGTTGAACACTTTATTGCATTTAATTGGATATTACTCTTGAAAATGTGATCCTACTATAGGAAGAAGGTGATAAATTTATGGTATCCTAGCTGTCCTAAATATTCATCAGGGTATCCTATCAAGACATTTAGGGGTGCCCTAGCTATCCTTAATACTTACTAGAGTATCCTAGTTAAACCGCATCAACTTGACGCTTCTTCAAACACTCGAGGATTGAAAGAAGCACAAAAGATAATGCATTTGACGTGAACTTAGTGAATAATAATAAAACAGAATGAGTTGAGATACAATTTCTTAGAAAACGTTGGAAAGCGAGCCGCCTTACATCCTAAAGCCTTATTCTCAAACTTATTCGACGATTGTTGAAGAAAACCTACCAATGATATACTCTTATATGTTAACTTTGCTCAATATTAATATTGAAGAACAATGTGCAATATGTGCGCTGATAATTATTAAACACATCATATCTATCTAACTGATCACACTAGAGGAAATGAGTGGGTTGGGATTGCTCATTAGGACGAAGGTGGCTATCCTAAAACCAGCGTACAAGACATCCACAAGTGAGTCGCGGCTAGGCCAATTTAAGGGGACCCGTCAGGGGCCAAATGGCTATAAAAAAAGTTTTTTTTTTTGACAGACTGTTGGTTCACCAAAATGAGTCAAGTTGACACACGTTAGATTGAGTGGAGGTGCTTTATTCTCACGTTGTTATATATTTAATAAATCTACATGCATCAGTTGAAAGCGCCAGTCCTTTTACACTAATGTGACTAGAAGCTCCTATATTAGATCCTACTCGGCCAACGTGAGGATCTCTTCATTTACAATCTGGCGAGAAAATGTTCCTTAATAAATTAAACCGAGTCACAAAAGGAATCAGATCCTTCGATAAATTCTGACTTGAGAACTCCCAGATTCATTCTTCAAATTCTGACTCGAAGTATTACATATTTCAGTTGTAGCAAATTGCTGATGAAGAACCAAAATTTTCGTTTCCAGTTCCCACACTTAAATGATACTTTGAGACGAAAAATAATTGGTCCCACCAGCAGTGCACAATTAGCACCTCACAGATCCCGACTCCTCGCAAACGAATCAAGGTCCTGCAATGGTGAAACAAAGTTAACTTTTTGAACCTTGTTGATCAAATAGCATTGTTATCAGAAATTCAATTAATATACTCAAACCTAGTCTAGACTGAATAATATCATAACTGAGACATTTCTTGAATGCTCGCAAAAATTGAATGTTATTTATTTTTTACAGATACGTTAGTGAACTTTATTAATATTCCTGTACGTTGTTCTAGTATTTGAACAATATCTTGGACTTCCTATTATTTGAAGAACAACTGTTAGCGGAAAATTTTGACGTTGAATCTTAAAAAATAATACGTTGCTCTCATTTCGAGAGATTGAGATTTTTTCAACCCAATTTCAAGCGTCATTAAGTCCAAAAAATACAGATCAATAATTCAAGCGACATTATGTATGTCTAAATAATATTTATAACAAGATATTATCTTAATTGTCACCTGGTTTAGCTTTTTGAACTCGACGAGCTGCGCTAAGGCGTACTCGAGTATGTGCTTGGCAGAACGGGAAGTAGGGGGTAGGTTAACGGTGATGCCCAATATGTCCCCACACTCTCGCACAAAGTATTCCAGGTCCTCGTCTTTACACTTGTTCGTCACCTAAGAATTGCATGGTGAAATTTGTTTTTTCAATTTTTTACATACTACATCTAAATTTCCATTTGTTTTAAACTGTACGCTAAAATTGAAAAATTGTGTCCTTAACGTTAATAAAACAGAATGATTATGGAATTGTATGCACGGAAATATACGCTGAAATTATCATGGTTCATTTTTTGGGCAAAAAGTTCTCTATGGATCAAAAAGTTGTCTAAAAGTTCTTGTTTCATCATTGAAATAAACAACTATTATTTATTGAATGAGTATTTTTATATACAAATTTTGTATTAATTTTTTAAATGTACGTGGGATGAATTTGAAGTACTTGAAGCTGTGAAAATTTTTGCTATCGTTTAGGAACAGCCATTGAAAATACCACCCACCTGAGCAAGCCGGGATTTGTCTGAGCTGAAAGCCTCGTCAAGATCGAAAAGTTCGAGGCTAGGATTAGGCAGCTCCCGGAACGAAGGAGGGAAAACCTGAGAAAAGATGTATGTGATAAGTAAAAAAAGTGAAGGCCTTTATTTTTGGGGGGATAAAAATGCGTAACCCCAAGGATTACGGATAGTACAGAGAAAATCGCCAAAATTCTTCGTGGATATTGATCAGATTTCATTTGTGAGTAATACAGTAGCCCATCAGAAGCTGAGGCAGAGGCGTTCCACTCACAGCAGGATGCATCTGAGGCAGAGGCATTCCACTTACAGCAGGATGCAGCTGAGGCAGAGGCGTTCCACTTACAGCAGGATGCAGCTGAGGCAGAGGCGTTCCACTTACAGCAGGATGCAGCTGTTCACCTTACAGCAGGATGCAGCTGAGGCAGAGGCGTTCAACTTACAGCAGGATGCAGCTGAGGCAGAGGCGTTCAACTTACAGCAGGGTGCAGCTGAGGCAGAGGCGTTCAACTTACAGCAGGATGCAGCTGAGGCAGAGGCGTTTCGAACTGAGGCGTAATGAGGCGGAGAGGCTCGTGTTTCAGGTTAAGTTTGCTGTAGCATTCAATGGCTGCCGGCACCAGCTCCATGTCTATGTTGGTCAACTGCAAGCGAATTTTCATAAAGCTCGTATTATGTTTAAATTAAAATTATTAATGTTATTCATCAGTTAGTATTGATATTGATTGAATTTATTTGGAAATTCAATAAACAATATTTTATGAATTATATTATTGATTATTAATTAATTCATCAACAATCATGCATGAATATTTTTCAATTATTATTCTTAGTGAGTAAATTACCTAATTCTTTTGCACTAAAGTATATCTTATTGCATCCATAAAATCAGTAGGTACTTGTTATGGATTTAATAGTCGTGTGTGCCGTATGATTAAATTTTATTGTCAATGGTATTTGTGGTGTTATTTACACTGGCTCATACATGCTGAATACTATTCCTACATTCATATAACTATTCACCTAGCACCTCTCATTCATTATTCACCCACTACCGTTCATTCAAATTAATTACTATTAATCCAGAAACCATTTGTGTTACAAATCATGCTCGTGTATTCATAATTATAATCCCTCAGTTACTGCCATTCATTTAGCTTTATATCCCAAAAGCAGTTTTTCACAATACTATACCTGAAAACATTCTCATTTATAATTATATTTCTATAGATTCGCCTTTTCATTGTACTATATTCTCTTATTCATACTTCAGTTCTTTTTGGCTCTCTATTTTTAATTCTCAAATAAGGTAATCGTTCAGGCGTAATACCATTACTTGGATTCGAAATACGTTTACCATATACAAAGTTTATGTGAAGGTAATACGTAGTTTATACCTCCTGAATGTGAAGTATTACTGGGGACACTTTACGTGTACGTGGCCTGGACCCGGGGTAAAAAGTTCATGTGAAGTTAATACATAGTTTATACCTCGTTAATGTGAAGTATTACTGGGGACACTTTACATGTACGTGGCCTGGAACCGGGGTAAAAAGTTCATGTGAAGTTAATACATAGTTTATACCTCGTTAATGTGAAGTATTACTGGGGACACTTTACATGCACGTGGCCTGGAACCGGGGTAAAAAGTTCATGTGAAGTTAATACATAGTTTATACCTCCTGTATATGTATATAGTTTATACCTCCACTTTACATGTACGTGGCCTGGGGTTCACCTTAGCATGGAAGAGCTGAGTGAAGTCGGCGGGCACTTCTTCTGATTCTTGAAGACAATTTTGCAGGTTTTCAGAGAGACCGAAGATGTCAGGGGTCATCGTGTAGTCGGAAACCTAAGACCATTTTGAGGCAATTATACGTATGCATCACAATTTGAAAATATGTAACTTGCTATCGTTAACATTACATGTTTACTTCGTGGTAGGTGGCTTAAGTAATATTAAAATATCAAAGCCAGAAAAATCATTAAAATGGGGTAAAAATTAACCATAAATTTGTAAACTTAAGACAGTTTTAACGTAAACAATGGAAAATATACTCGAATATTCTGCGTTATTGTAAATGATGTAAATAAACCCAATTTTATAGATTCATATTTCTTCCAAAATAAATTCAGAATCAGTCATTGATACACCACTGGAAAGAGAGAGATTTAAAGTTTTTTTACATATATAATTAACACGTTCCCCGCGTATTGGGCCATATGTGTACCACGAAATGTATTTCTTCATGACGTAGTGGTGCATAATTCAGGGTTGCCATCTGGCCTAAAATATGGCCAAGTCCGCGAAAATAAAACGCCAAAAAAGGTCTGTAACTAAATATATACTAGTATATTTTTTAGGTTCCGGTGTAACAATTCCATTTCCCTCTAATTTAAATTTAACTAGGAAGTACCCCTATCATAAATTTTAGCCGGCCAACGCAATTGACAAAAAACTAAATCGTGGAATTTGTCCGGAAAAAAAGACTGACTGGCAATCTTGTTTCATAATAGTACAACAAATGAAATAATAGTACGAGATGAAGCAATCGCATTGAACGTGCTAAAGGTATTAAATATGTCCCCCTTGTGCTGCGCGGCAAACATGTAAACGGTAGCCAAACTCGTCCCACACACGAGAAAGCATATATCTTCTGTTACTGAGTGTACCGAAGCAGTGATACGGTTCTTCGATTTATTGGTTTCGAATTCATGCTCCAATAAATACGAATTTATTAAACTAGCCTCATCGTTTGGAATAACCTTGTATTTCCTTCATAACTCAAGGAATCAGTTCGGGATACGCGTATAGATGACACAAAGCGAAGAATTCAAACCATTTTTTTTTTTCGTCTGACCTCTGGTAGATCTCTGCACGGACGTGTACAACTAAAAAATAAGGCTTTCTCAACTCGGTTGGTATTAAAAGATTACCTCCGGATCATCCGCATCAATCTGATCGAGTTTGAAGTCAGGCGTGATGAGGTACTGGAAGATGACGTCTCTGATCTTGGAGTTCTCCTCCTTGTCGATGTAGTGGTCGGTGAGCATGTGGCCTGACCCTAGCACTGCTACGCGACCGCGGCTCGTTGGGTGCTCGGAAAATGCACAAACCTGGACAATATTCGTGGTAATAAATGCCATATTTGATTCTTCAGCAAACGTGTATACCAGGGCAACAATCATGAGAATTTTAGTCGTGTTTGATTCGATGAGGTTGTCAAAGAACGCGTAATGTGGCCGACATCCACAGATTTTGAAGCGCCATATTTGATTCTCAGACTCATAATTAAAAAGTTATATAAAAACCATTATTATAGTTATTATTAGTAATATAATTTATTAAAATATACTATAATGCAATATAATATAATTATATTAGACTCACAGGACGCTTGAGCGGGAAGGACACGCTACCGGTAGACAGTACGGCCACGGCGGGCTTCTTGACGTTCAGCGTCGCACCGAAGGGGTACACGAACGACATCAGCCTGGTGCGAATTATTATAAACTGTTTTATCATTTGTTTCTCTCTCTAACGACTCAACTGCGACGGCAAGTCTTTTCTCATTTCAGGAAAAATCTAGGTAAGAAAATGTTGGCAGAATTCCCGAAAACTTTGGAATTGACAGGCGATTTCAAATCAAGACTCACCAGACCAGACAACACGTGTATGGTCAATCAATAGACTGTTTAGCGAATACCAAAGTGAGTTGAAAACATTAGTTTAAAATAACGATAACCCCTAGAACTCTCGATCTCACTCACTTGAATATATATTTTTTATGTATCTGTTTAATTATTCTCGCGAAGTGATGTCCAATAAAATGGGTGAATGGGTGTGTTCCGGAAGGATGGCTAAGCGTGAATGAATGAGTCGTAGAGATAAACTAATCATATTTCATATATCATTTACTCCTTAGAAAATAATAACTTAGAGACTGAAATCGAGATGGAAGTTCACAAGGGCGTAGCATTCCTTCACAATGTTTGTGCGCTTGGAAGTGAATCCCGGTATACTCTCCTCCAGACATCTGACGTAGAATTGAACATTGTTTCTTTGAACCTACGTTAATTGAACGTTGATTCAACGTCATTTGTCTGATAATGATTGTTGTTATGCGTAAAGAGGGACAAGAAGGAGGAAAGAGGGACACGAAGAGGGACAAAAGGACTTAACAAGGAAAAAAGAGGGATGTAACGAGGGTCAAGCAAAACTTTTGAATCCTACCTTGTGGCAAGGGACTCGTCAGTGAGGAGTCCAGGGATGGCTTTACCAGACGCCTGAAGGATGGCTTTGTTCAGGACGCCGTTGGTGATGAGACATTCTTTGGGGTGGAAGTACTTGTAGTAGCAGGTGCGTACCACCGAGTCTGTGGAGGTCATTATTTAATCATTGAACGAATGATTTCCTCTGACTCGCATAAGATGTCACGCTGTCGTTCGATCTGATTAAAAATCTTTTTTTTGAATCAGTGAAAGAATTGTCTTTCCAAAATCGTTTATAATGCCTCGTCTGAGACGTATTTTGATCTCACAAAAAATCTGTCTGCTACTCATAGAACCAATTGGTTCTAAGAGTAGCAGACAGATTTTTTTGTGAGATCAAAATACGTCTCAGACGTGGCATTTTAAACGATTTTGGAAAAACAATTCGGTCAATGATTCAAAGAAATATTTTTAATCGTATCGAACGACAGCGTGACATCTTATGCGAGTCATAGAAAATCATTCGTTCAATGATTCGGAAATTTTAGGGACATCGAACGACATCTGAAGCGAATTTGGGAAAATAATTCGTTCAATGATTCAAAGAAAGTTTTTCCATGACACAGTTTTATATTGAGGCAAATGATGCTCTAATTGAACAAAAATTGAGTCAAAATGGGTTATTTAAACAGAGGTCGGCATGAGCAAACTTCTGACGACGACTTTCGAGACTAAAAATACCGTGGACGCCCGAGTCTTGTCTTGATCACAAGTAATTTTCAAGAATTATAGTAAATCCTTGCAAAAATTTTTCGTGGATAGTTTATCTGATAGGTCCAATCTCACTGTGATTTATTCTCACTACATAGAGCTTAAAAAGAACACCGGTGGAAATCCAAAAATGTGGTGTGATGGTATCGTTTAGATTTACAAGCAAAATCCTACTACAAAAACACTGTATAGTTGAAATAAAACGTAAACAAAAGTACAAGGCTGAAAGATTATCAATTTTTATCATGACCGGCATTAAACTTTTAGAAGACTAATATATAAGAATGTTAGTGGTTATGCCTGAGCTGTGAACACGTTACCAAATAACAATTTTCCCTTCCTCTTCAGACCATCATACAGCAGACCATCATACAGCAGACCATCATACAGCAGACCATCATACAGCAGACCATCGTACAGCAGACCATCTTACAGCAGACCATCATACAGCAGACCATCATACAGCAGACCATCATACAGCAGACCATCATACAGCAGACCATTTTACAGCAGACCATCATACAGCAGACCATCATACAGCAGACCATCATACAGCAGACCATCATACAGCAGACCATCTTACAGCAGACTAGTCACCATTATTAACAGATATCCCGAACTCCTCGAGCAAGAAGTTGATGTTAGTGTTAGCCTTCTTCTCGCCGCCCTCCTCGACCAGCACCAGCAGAGCGCCGCCGTCCTCGACGTGACGACGCAGCGCTGCAAACTGCAGGTCCGTGAACGGCTGACGGGGACAGCCTAGCACCACCAGTCCTGCTGACGACAGGCTTGCCTTCGTCAGCGGCTCTGTCGAGCTGTTAGCAAACAGCAAATGGTCAAGTTATTTACAAGAATAACTTAAAGTTTTTAAAAATTCATTCATTTATAATTAACTGAAGGATGAGAGAAATTTCTACACAGAAACTGCAGACGAGTACGCATGCACTCTATTTCCCAAAAATGTCATAACAATATAATTATAGGAGTACAATTTAAATTTTATTTCAATACAATATACCGTACCAGTATCAAATTTAGGAACATAAAATCAAATCAATATAAATATATTGAAATATTATCATCAACAGAAATCAATCAGAACGCTAGATCAAATAATTGCATTAAATTGTTTATTTTTTAGAGGTTTATATGAATATTCTAGCCACCTTGTGACCTTCCATTGGCTCTTAAGTTTGCGGTGCAAGGACTTAAGTTCCTGTTGCAGTCTGAAGAGTTCGTTCTTGCTCTCACTGAAGAGGATCGTGTTGTTCAGAGATCGCTCGGGATCTGACGGCTGAACAAATCAAAAACTTTAATCTGGTAAACAGTATTCATTTTAATTAAGAAGGTCTTTTATTTGTCAATTTTAGGTTGTAATGTCTGACTTTAGATTTTGAATTATAATGATTGTTTTCATTTTCTAGATTGTCTAACTGACGATGGAGTTGGACTCCGAAACGTTTTCAATATCGATATGGTGTATTTACTTAGCGTTCTATTTGCTTTTAAATTCTTTGTTAATTTGCGTTATAAGCAGACTGAGGATGTAAGTACTTATTTACGAATGTGAAGTGGGGGAATTCACAGGCATTGATTTTAAAACAAAAATAACACCAAAATACATGTTACGTGGGCTTTAAATTCCTGAATTATTGCCCTCGCCATGTAAAATTTTTGCTTGCGTGAGAACTACGAGGAAGTTTGTTCTTAGATTAAAATAAGGTATGAATATATGTCCATTTCATAAGGATAGCTAATCTGTTTTTTAATTAAACTAATTGTTATTTACCTCAGCAAATAATGATTGTGATAATTATAAGAATTTGTGTTGTGATGGATATTAACAAACATGTGATCATAAAAAAACGCGAGTTTAAATAATATATTTACGTATCAACAAATTTCGCCTTTTACCTATGCTTTAACTCTACCTAACATAGTGAATCGAACACTAATTCTGTAATATTTATATAATAATAAATTACATTTAGACTGAGATGTTCTCCCTATATGCTTGACATTTGTACACCACGTGATAAACTTTATTAAGTATATCACGAAATATCAATATAAGTCAACATCGCTTGAAAATACTGTATTATCAATAAAATATTATATAATTCGAAACTACATTTTATGTTTTTTCGACTCACAATGACTTCGGAGATGGGCGGCATGACGATCAGCTATTAGTTCCTTTTCCCTGCAGACGGACAGCTTTTTTTTATCAGCTTTACTACACGTACCTATTAATGATAGTAGGTGGACTATATGTCCTATTTCTCTCCAAAATGTAACAATATTCAGCAACAAACAAATAATTTCAAGAGCTCAAATTCCTAAAAAGGGTTCTTACTACTGTTGTTAAAGCACAATCTTCATGAAGGCTCCTATATAGAATAAACTATTATGTAAGACAGGCTGAGAGCTAACACCGCATGCTATATACCAACGCAGGCTCGACGCTTTCACATTCCGTTGCTAGGGGCAGAACACAACAAACCGTTGCTAAGGACAACATTTATTCTAAGTGTGCTACAGAATTTCAGTGTTTGAATTCTGCGCGCCTGTAAAATAGAAGTATAACGCAAATTTTTTCGAATGTCACCCATTATGCTTTGTTTCGTCATTATGGATTGAAGTATTAAAGGAACTACGGAACATTTTTTGAGTCCGAGCACAATTTTCAGAAGAAATTTGAACAACGAAATACCTTACGTATGTTTTACAAATTCTTAGAAGATTTTATGTTATTTTCAAACCTACTATCAGAGATCGTTGATTAATATTTTTCACATAAATAAAAAAAATGCCGCAATCGCACTCTATACTTTTTAAATCAATAGCAATTCAGCTCAACATAGTGATTTATTTACGAAAAATGCCAAAGTTCGGTGGTATTTCCATTAGTTATCAATTCAAAGTAAATCTACTGTGCTTAGCTTGTAACTTAACATGTAAATTCTTATTCCTGACCGATATTAGTAAGGAAATAACGCTCTTTTTGTTAGTGTGAAACATTATATCATTATAATACATCAATATAAGAAAATCGGCGGCTTCGGAATTCTTTTTGGCAGACAAAACAACTTGGTATAAAACAAATGAATTGTGCATTAATAATTTAATACGTAAACGTATTTCGTATTAAGTTCGCACCGATCATTGTGTTTCACGGTGGACTAGTTCGAGACACGTTGAGGTTCTTGCCGACGGTTTCTGACACGCTCGAAATATGCAATATTTCAATGCGCTTTAAAATCAATACAAAGAACATATGTGTACAATAATTGTACAAATCGTATGGCAGGGCATTGTGGCTAAATTAACAAATTATTGAGGCAAAGTTTGGTCTATGTGCCTAGATCGCTTGCACATTCCCTGCACGCTTGCGCATTCCTTGCACGCTTGCACATTCCCTGCACGCTTGCACATTCCCTGCACGCGTGCACATTCTCTGCTCGTAACATATATATGAAGGCGTTACTATATGGACGATATGACCAGTTCTTTATTTTCTAAATAAGAGCGCTCTATGAATAATGATTTTGAGAAAGAGACTGATAAACCTGATTGTGGAATGAGAGAGAACGACTCGCTGTGATGGAGGTAATTTTGAATGAAGAGGTGACATAAGTTCACGAGTAAAAGAAAACATTTGAAGAGTGTATAGCAATGATCGCGAGGATGTCTGAGGGAGCAAACTTGACTAAATATTTGTATATATTCAATCTGTTCTAAATTTAATAAATATTGACTGTGATTGAGACGTTGAATTTGTTCAAAATTGAATATATACTTTAGTCTATTATTATTTATTGGTGAATATTTGGGCATGTTGAATGCCAGGTGGCTAACAAATTTAAAAGTCTAACTGGAGGGTGACGCGTTACCAATCCCGAACCCAACTCTTATATGCTACTTTTTCTGACGTCTCGGACAATTTTACGTCCGGACTCGCGGCCGGTCTTCAAGGAATATCCCCCAATTCAATTGCCAAGGAATATTTCTCAAACTAATGAACGCAGCTAGATGAAACTTGGTACACGTATTCATCATCGTTTGGTGTATATTCAAAGTTTCTTTCAACTCTGTTCAACAGTTTAGGTCCGAGAAATGTCTTAGTCACTCAAATTTCGGCCCGTTTCTCCATGTATGCCGACGACATAAAAGTTTATAATACAGTGAAGGATGCGTCAAATAAAGCGCAATTACAAGATGATCTTGACAGTTTAGTTAACTGGGCTGATACGTGGCAGCTGCGGTTTTAATCCTGACAAGTGTAAAGTGCTTCACCTCGGGAAGAACAATGAACAGCAAGATAACAGTATGAGAAGACATGGTTGCAACGAGAGAGTAATGATTGAAAAGTCTAGTGTGGAAAAAGATCTCGGAGTTTATGTCGACAAGGAGCTGAAATTTTCTAAGCATGTTAAAACGCAAGCTAACACATCAACAAACTTCTTGGACTAAGTAGACGCTCATATGAGCTTCTAGATGCAGAAGCGATGAAGCAGTTGTTTGTTGCTGTCATGCGCCCGAATATAGAGTTTGGAAACGTTGTGTGGTCACCGAGATTTGAAATGGACAAAAATTTAACAGAGAATGTTCGAAGACGTACAACAAGGCTAATTCCAGGCTTGAAGAGTAAGTCTTATGAAGAACGATTAAAGATTATGAAGCTTCCAAGCCTCAGTCATCGACGTCTGCGTGGGGACCTCATTGAAGTAACAAGTATACTCATGGTTTATACGTACAAGGTATCCGAAGGATCACTAGAATTTGAAACAAGAACCAACACCAGGGGCCACGGCAATAAATTAAAAAAAAACTGCGCTGCAACTTCTCAACGCGACAACATTTCTTCTCGCTTCGAATCACCGACATGTGGAACAGCCTCCCCGATGACATCGTTGGCGCTCCAAGTATGAACGCGTTCAAGAACAGACTAGATAAAGCTATAGAAAATATATGGTCAAACTTGAAATGCCTAGCACCATATCGAACCCAGTGGAAGTCTAGTAGCCATTTCAAACTATCGTCAGTCATGAAAAGATCCGGTCAAATGACACGATTTTAGATCTTCTGTGAACAAGGCACGAAAAGGAAAAGAATCGACGACAGGCCACATCAGGCCTACACTTCAGCGCCGGCATCACTATGTTATGTTATATAACTCACGAATCAAGGCGAAATATAAACATTTTTCACAAGCTAAACATCACCGTTAGGTTCTAATGAATACGTGTGGCAAGTTTCATGCATCTGCGTTCATTAGTTTGGGATATATTCCTTGGTTTTCAAATTTCGAGACCTGCGACGAATCCGGCCGTAAAATTGTCCGACACGTCTTTTCCTGATCTTAATTTTACAACTATTTGTTCTATGTGTACAACAGTTTGGGCACTTGTTGCCTCTGTCGCTTTTCCGTCTATAACTTTGAAATGTCACCCACTTTAATAAAATTGTAGTCAAGACAAGTCAAGTTACATTGGGTTCGCGTTTGCTCATTCTAACATATATCATATATGCGGATATGCCTCTAAATATGCCTTTTTACATTTGATTTTTTACATGAAAAATGTTTGCAGGGATAGTTGAACGTGAAGAACATGATAATAAAATAGGTTTTACATCGAAGTTTTTTTGGAGAGCTAATTTCTGGAATCCAATAATTTTCCGCGGTAACTTTGATTTAAGGACTTTGCGCGCAACCGTTGGTGGGGTTTTTCTTCAATTATGGAGTATCCACCGTATTATTATGAATATGAGGACCTATAATGTTGGCAACAGCAACGTTCATTCCTCACTAGGCTGGCCGCTGGCGCGTGTTTTCGACTCGTGGGTCATGAACAGACTTGCAGCTGCAAGAAGCTTGTGGAAGACGTAGGTTGTGCCGTTGTGGCAGCTGTAAAGTCTTTAATTAGCGTATAGGACTTCTATACGTTAATTAAAAACTTTACAGCTTTATAATAGGACATAGCAACTGTGTTAAATGAAGTTCTAGGTTCATTATCAGGAATATTTTACCCAAAAAAGGTGGCAGGCTCAGCCTCAGGCTGTAGGCCTAGCCGGTAGGCAACTAGAGCTCTAAGTCTAGCAGCCTGATTGAGTAGGTAGCATGAATCTTGCAGCTCCAAAAATGTCAGAACAGCTTGTGTGGAGTGTGGTCAGTGCCACAGTGGTGGGACTGGGCCCCTGGGCCTGGGTCACTGGTGGCTAACAGTTACAGGCCTACAGACACAGAGTAGATGACTTCACTCGTCTAAGTCTCGTCAGTCGTCAATAGTCAATACCTGGCCAGCTGGCCTACGGCCTCTGCCTACCTGCTAGGCTGCTGAGGAGTGAGGAGTCTGATTCTGTCTGAACTCTGAAGGTCTACTCTGAAGTCTGAACTGACTCACAGACTCAGAAGATTAGGTACTATAGTTTTGCAGTTAGTATTGGAATACAAATTACAATGACTCAAAGAGGAAATTATGTTTTTGGGGCCATGGCTTAATTCAAAATTGTTATTAAAATTATCAAAAATCTTTTAAAATTTAAATTGTCACTCATTATTATTAGGAAATGCTGATAGCCTGATGGTAGTATAGTGAGTTAAGTAGGTAGATAAGAAAAATGTAGCAGGGCGGCCATTGCCAAGCGTAATGGCAATTGGCAAACCACAGCTTTTTTAGAATCAGTTCATTTTTAATTTCTTCATTTACTCAAGATTCAAACCAATTTCTTAAGTATGATAATGCTGGTATCCAGGATACTTCACTGGTCTACCTATAGGACTCAAAAATGAACTTGAGGGAGAGTCTAAAAAAACTCTCTCCTTTGCCACTATGTAAATGCCAAGATGTTCTAGGCTAGGGATTAGGGAATCCTAGGGATATCTATTAGTTTGAAAATTTTTATTAATGTTACTAAAGTTTCCCTTTTGAATTCTTGTCAGCAAGTTGTATTTTTGTACTTCTTCAGTCCAAACTAGAAAATTCAAGCAGAAGCTATCCAAAAAAAGTAGATAAATGCCTATGATCAAGTTTCTCTTTTCTGATGGCCTTTTGCCTTCCATAATTTATTCAGTAAAAATTAAGAAAAACCATACATTTTTGCCTATAGTTTTTAAACTTGCTAAATTCTCTCTGCACGGGCAGCGCGGCTGTACCCAGCAGTCATCACCGGAAGGCACACAAGATCTGGACATCTCTTCTCCACCCCCAGGGTGCGGACTGCAGAAGCTACAAATGGCGATGCCACATGCCAATATATAAATTTTTAGTCCAAAGCGTCGCCAGTCATATACAAGATGTGTCACCAGGTAATCTTTAAAATAAAATGCTGCTAACCACTTTGGTATACCATCATTTACAGGCCTTATCTCCATGCACTGCATCATCTCCAGACAAGCTTCACTGCATCCTGATCCATCCAATGTACCAGAAACCTTACTGTATGTGCTAACGGTCTTCCAGATTTTCAATAATTGCAATAATTTCAAAGTAATTTCTAAAATGCAATAATTTCAATTCAGATGTGTTGGCAAGACCTTCTGAAGGCGTAAATTTTGCTGCTGATGCCTAACCAAAGATCTTTTGATATTCATCCACTTTCCGCACCCTGGCTCCACCCAGGATGCAGAGGGTGCAAGCAACATTGTCAAGATAGGGATAATGGATTTTTAGCCCAAAGCATTGTCAGCCATTTTCAAGATGCGTTGCTGGTATTTTTTAATAAGAAAATGCTGCTAACAACTTTGGTAGTATATCCCTTACTCTCCATGCACTGCAACACTAACGCTCATTGCAACTTATTTCCAGACAAGCTTCACTGCATCCTGATCCATCCAAAATACCAGAAACCTTACTGTGTGTGCTCACGCCTCACTGTCTTTCAGATTTGCTATAATTTCAAAATAATTTCTAAAATGCGATCATTGCAATCCAAATGTGTTGGCAAGATCTTTTGAAGGCATAAATTTTGCTACTGATGCATTGCTAAAGACCTTTCAATATTCACCCACTTTCTGCACCCTGGTCCTCCACTGTGTTTGGTCTGCAGCTGACTGTTGTGCTAAGTTCCACAAGTTCCAGCCTGCACAGTTTATTTCCACTTTCACCATTCATCTCAAAGTTGTTTTTGGGCAGCATCTCTTTCTTCTTCCCTCAGATGCCCACCCAAGGGCCACAGCACAGTTGCTTGTTCTGTCCTTCCTCAGCACATGTCCTACCCAGCTCAACCTCCAACCTCCGTCTTCTCACCTCATTGCTGATCTCCACCTCTGCCATCTCAAGAACTAACTTGTTTGAGACATGTTAGTAAATCTTTCATGAGCATTTGATCTGGAATATATCTAGCTTATTGTCTCTCTTAGTTTGTGTCTAGGCCTCACATCCATATAACAGAACTGAAAAGATCAAGCACTTGAAAAGGGAGGTTTTGGTATTCTTGCTGATGTTGCTGGCCTGCCAGATATTTAATAGTCTTGAACTGTGGGCTTCTACTATGCTTCCACCATTTTCAGTTTCTACCATGTTCCACTTCCACCATGTTCCACTTCCACCATGTTTGCATCTAGATATCTGAAGCTTTCTACATTCTCTACTTCTCCCCCTACAGCCCTCAGACTTCTGCTGCACCTATTGTTGACTTCCATCATCTTGCTCTTCTTGTCTTTCAGTTTTATCCCAACTTTGGCTGCATTGTTCTCTAATTTGGATGTTTTGTGCTGCAGGTGATCCATTGATGAAGATGGGAGGGCAATGTCATCTGCTAAGTCAAGGTTCTCCAGCATGGTATTGAAGCTCCATTGGATTCTAGTTCCTTCACCTACACCATTTGCCACATTACCCACTCGATCACCAGGAGGAACAAAAACCTACATGCAGCACCTCTGCTTTACTCTTGTCGTCACTGGAAACCAGTTTGTTGTCTTGTTCTTGTCAATCATGAAGCACTGAAAGTCCTCATAGAGGATCCTGACCATCTGGATCAGCTTCTGAGGGAATGCACACTGGCACATGATGGTCCATAGGCTGTCTTGCTGAATGGAATCGAATGCCATTTTGAAATAAATGAAGTTGACATGCAATGTGGCATTCCATTCGTTGGCTAGTTCTAGTATATTCTTGACAATAAATATCTGATTGCCAGTTCCTCTGCCCTTCTTGAAGCTGGCTTATTCTTTCCAGAACAAGGAGTCCACTCCACCTAGTATCCTGTTGGTGAGAATCTTGATGTGCACCTTTCTAGCAAGAGGCAACAATGTAAATCCCCTCCAGTTTCTGCAATCTTAAGGGTTTCCTCACTTTTGAATTTGCCAAATGAGTCATTTGGGCCATTGTGCTTTAACTGCCTCCTGGTCCAAAATAGTTCAAAAAATCTGCTTTAGTTCTGAGCTGGTCAGTTCAATGTTTGCTTTAAGCAATTTGCCTGAGATTTGGTCTGCTGCAGGAGCTCCCCCCCCCCCCTCTCTTTCCTGAGGGCCCTCAGTGTGCTGTCGATTCCCTCCACATCTGATGCCTTAGCTAGGATATCTTATCTCATGCACTTCCTCTCTGTCCCCCTGTGGTGGCTCCTCTGATGAGAAATTCCTGGAAATGTTCTCTCCATCTTGCTAGCCTCTTTGCTCTTCAGCAGCAACCCCAGCTTTTACTCTCCACTCCAGCAGCTGTCTGGTGTTGGTACTCTATCATGTCAGCTGTTGTGTGATACTGTACAATTCTTTGTTTTCCATTTTCTGCTGCGTTCTGTGCTCTGCCTGCTTTTTCTTACATCCACATTCTTTTGCCTTCTCTTATGCTCCTTTTTACTCCCCTCTCCTCTTCCCTGTACTCTTCTCTAATTCGTTTTTAATTCGTTCTGATCAGGTACTTGCAATCCCTGCCTTGGGTATTTCTTCTCTTGTCAATCAGTCTCCAGGTATTACTCCTGATCCATGGCTTGCTCCTCCATTTCTTGTAGCCAAGCACATTTTCTGCCAATTTAACAGACTTTTCCACTGCAATTCCCATACCTCCTCTATGTTTTCACTCCCCTGGTTGTGTCTAGCTTGTTTGTGACTGCCTCGCAGCACGTCTCCCTTGCCCCCTCTTCTCTTTCTTAATTCAGATCCATCCTTGTCTTAGCCTTGTTATTGTTTCTGTGGGTACTCAAATGCAGTTTGATGGCTTGTCTTCACCAGGTACCATACTACTTCTCCCTTGCCCCCTTATCTCTTGGATAATTCAGATCCATCCTTGTCTTAGCCTTGTTATTGTTTCTGTGAGTACATAGATGCAGTTTGATGGCTCGTCTTCAGCAGGGAGTGATCACCACTGATATCAGCTCCTCTCTACGTACTTGCATGTCTAGGACAGAAGATCTGTCCTAGAAGATCTCCAATATCTGTTGATCAATCAGGAGACGTAGCGGCAAAGGCAAACATTTTTTGGCTGCCCTTCCTAAAGTGTTCATTTCTAAGTCCTATAAGTAGACTGCTTAGTCTCTTGGATATCAGCAATATCATTCATAAGAAATTGATTGAAATATTGAGTACCTATATGGGGAAATTAAAAATGAGCTGATTCTAAAAAAATCTTGGGTTTGCCTCTATGCCGGGAGATGGTCAATCTGATTCTTTGCTCTTCCATCCTCATCAGTCATCAGTCACCAGTGTTGTTATGTGCCCCGTTGTAACAGAAACAACAAACAGCAATTTTTGAAGATCACCCATAAAATTATTATTTTACCTGCAACTTTTTTAATCCTGCCCAATAACCCAGAATGATATTGATTGATTGAATATTTAGTCATCTTGGTAATGAATATTTTGGTTTACATCAATCAAATTATGTAAAACACTGCAGTTCTTTCCTATTGTTTGATTTCTTGGTGCGAAATTAAATTGTTTCTTTCTCTAATTAGCACAAATTAAATTTATTGAAAGAAGCATAGTGTTGCCAACCTGTAATATCTGGCAGAATAAAAAAAATCATGGGTTAATATTATTACATGAGCAACATATCACATATTTCCACAAAAATCAAGATAAGAAATGTGCAATTTTCATCTATTTACTTGGATAAATTGGGCAAGGGCCATATTAACAAACGAAATCATCTGTGAGATGGTGCAAGTATGAAATGTATCTACTACTTTCCATCTCTGAGCCAGAACTAAATCTTTCTTGTTTTTTTTTCAATGTCCTACATGGATTATATCTATCTTATCTAATTGTTGACAAAAGTTTCCAATGCAGCTGTGAGATTATAAAATTCTCAAAAAATGTATCACTTTGGAACTGCAAGATTTTATTAAGGAATAGGACATTTTTCAATCCTGGGTAATTAATTTTTCAGAGTAATTCACTGAATGTTCTTTTATTAGCAATTAAATCAAATATTCAATCAAATATACATGCATGATAATTGTTTTTACTGCCATTTCCTCAGATCTTAACTAAGAAAAATCATATTTTTTCTACAGAGAATTAATTAGTTAGAGTTTTTTTCTATTGAAGCTAAGATGTTTACTCCTAAAACTGGAACAAATTTGCCATCTTCTGCAAGTGGGCGAGCTTTAGCCTCAGGCAGCCGGAGACGCACCAGTGTGGGTGGACTTGCAGGCAGTCCATTTGGTGTGGGAGGTTCTCGCTCCAATGCACGTTCACCTTTTGCTAATCCAAGGTACAGAAAAATATATAATGTGGAAGACTTCAAATTACTGTACTGATCAATTTTGATTCATATAATTAATGTATAAATTGTACAATAATAAATTATTATTGTATTTTAAAATTTTTGCTTATTCTGATTCAATTTCTGAGGATATTTGCATGATATAATTTCTCTGGTAGATATGAAATACTTATTTCAGTCAAACTTTTTATTAATTATGAAATATATGTGTTGCAGTGGCCGCAACACTCCCACTCTAGGCACTCCTGGTACTGCCTTGGGCCAACAAAGTCAATATTGCATTGAAACTTATGGAAATGCCTTGCCAGCTCTGGTCAAAGAAGCCCTCACATTTTCTGAGAGTAAGTAAAAAGTGGAATTTGGGTGCGTGCTGACCTCCAGTCAAGACCTTTAAGTCAGTCATTCACGCTGCATACAAATTTTTGAGTTTATTAATAATAATGGAGTTTATTATTGAATAAGAAATATAATTTAACTCTTATTATAGCCAATTTGTAGTATAAATATAATTATTACAGAGAGCAGTGAAATGTCAGTGGTGTTAAGCTCTTGTGGCTGGGCTTGGCTGGTGACGGGGCGTCGGCTGCTAGTGTGGCGGTTCACCAATGAAGGACACCTCCCGCTTGCAGGTGTGCATCTTATTTATTTTATATTACACAAATTTAATTATAAATAATTAATAATTTATCATTATCAATTAATAATTAACGTTTAATTAATAATTAATCATTAATTTATTAATAAATTTAATAAGAATGTATTTCTGTACAGGTGAATTTATTTCTCTCATCTGTAACACCCAGCCCTCAGAGCCTGATGATCAAAGCCAATATTATTCCCAGCCTATTTAAGATCTTTTTTACATATATAGGGGAAATGGTAAAATTTTGAAACAAGTATTTCTGTTCATTTTAAACTACTTGACAGATGATCCTGACCTTGATACCAGATTCTGGCTAAAACAAAAATTTTTGGAGATTGATTTGGCAATTTTTGATACCAGTTAATTCCATCATTTGTCCTGATACTAAATATTTATTCTTCTTTTAAATCTTCATAGGAGCCATAACCAATATTTTTTTTACTCATTGAATCGCCCATATCAGGCACGCCCATGTCAAGGTCAGGCCGTGGAGGCCATGCCACAGAGTTCAGGGAGTTGCTGCTCCCCCAGAGTGACTTGGCGCACAGAGCTCAGCTGGTCGTACTACGACAACCTGACTCATCTCAGGTTATTAATTTAGGCAATTTTCCTGTCCTATTAAGTGGCTTGAAAGAGTAACATTAGAGTTAATGATAAGAGTAAGATTTATTGATAAAACCACAAAGTGCGCTTAATTTTTGCGTTGTTGTCACCTCTGAAACTTTTTGGCATGATTGATATGTAATGCCCTGCTAGCCCTGAAAAAGCAGTTTTATTTGTGACAGTTGCCATACAACATAATTTCACATGACTCAATGAAGGCAGGGGTTGTAATCAGTTCTAAAATAAGGAACTCCCAGGCTTAAAAGGCCTATTTAAATCAAATATAAGAGGGAAGTATAGTCCATGTTTCACTCCATGACCATTACTCTCCATAGCTAAATTATAGTGAAGATTACTACAATTCTCCTATTCGATATCTATGGGAGCTTGCTATGAAAACGTGACAATTATATTAAGTACAGACTATATAAAGAATAATCAAACAAAGTCTACAAGAAAGGCCATTACAAACCATATTTTTCACAATTAAATGATTTTACAAATGTTTTTTCGCCAAACTCCCTGGGTATCCTGGGACCAATAAGTTGGACAAGTAGCTTTTAGTGCATATATTTATTTATTTGCAACTTGAAACAAATTTACTACGTTATAATTCTGATTTTTTGTGTTGAAGAGCTAAAATTTTACATAAGGTAATTCAAATTTGGGAATATATGATGTTTATAACGCTTTTTTTTTGCTATAGTTGGCATCATAGCATTGTGTTGCCACCACAGTTGCCATCATCTGTTTACATAGCATTGTGTTGCCACCACAGTTGCCGTCATGCATGGCAGTGTCACCTGAAGGAAACGTGCGTTACTGGCACAGCATCGCACACGAGTCTTCCTACGCTGAGATCACCACTGAGCTCCAGGTGAACAAAGATATCTCAGTAATGCTGTACTTTAATAAAGCCCATTAACTTATTTCTCTCGTTCACTGCCTGTTCTCATTCTTTATCATGATTTAGTAGTTCAAGTTCTATTGCCTATCCTGTTAGATTCTCGCTCCTATCTGAAGAAATTGTCCTGCCACAAATGCCGTGGCTATTTGACACCCGAACAATCTATAATGAATTAGTTCGTGTGAAATAAAATTAGTTAATTTCATTATCATTGCATTTGCAGCAAGTATTTCACTGAGAAAATGTGTGCACGCCCTTCAGTTGACTGATTGTGAGTTCAAGAACAGGAATGTGACAGTTTATTGTACCTGAGCTGATGTATTGTGTGTACAGGGACAGGAATGTGACAGTTTATTGTACCTGAGCTGATGTATTGTGTGTACAGGGCCAGGAATGTGACAGTTTATTGTACCTGCGCTGATGTATTGTGTGTACAGGGCCAGGAATGCGACAGTTTATTGTACCTGAGCTCAAGACTCGGCTACTTCCTGGCGACGACGACCTCGACGTGCCTTCTGCTGCTGCCGAGCCCTGCGCCGCACTCCTCTCAGCCTGGTGCTTAATAAACTAAATATAATTATGATAGTATAACCATCAAGGATATTTTCTTGTTGGGCTATAATTAAATTAATTTAGTTTAATTTATTTAATTATTCAAATTCATGTTAAACTCATTGTACTATATATTTTGCTTAGCCTTTTTAGCGCATTTTCTCATTTATGGAAAAAATGCACTATTGTGCTTGTCATGTCCGTCCGTCTGTCTGTCCGTCCGTCCGTCTGTCCATGATTTCATGTTTTCGTCGACGAGAAAATGCGCTCTCTGTCACTCACTGCAGTGAGTACTGAGTTATAGTTTTTTACATTCAATGTAGAATTTCATCTCCTAAGTTCTCAACCTGAACAGCTTGCAACCTTGCACTCGCCAATACTCGTATATCATTCAACTCTTATGAAGTTATTAAATGCGCGTTGGTTGTTCTATTTATCCTGCCCTGATTGGTTCACCACACACTCCTGAATTAATGTCCTTCTGGTAGATAAAAGGAACTAAACCAAACGGGTAACACAGCTTCACTATCGTGGTCAGGAGCGCTTACGGTAATGCCGTTCATTAATTATCCTGGCATCAAGCATCAGGTAGAAAGATTGTCTGAAATGGTTGGCTGCAGGCTGAGGACTGATTTATTGGACGGACGGCAGCTTACGGCTTTGATTTATATAGTAATTGTTGTATAGTTGATTGTTGAAATATATAGAAAGTGGACAGAGATGGCGCAAGCCAAGAAGCTACACCCGGCCGCTGGCCTTTATATTGGCCAAAATAAACTGTCCGTTGCCAATGAATGATGCCTCAGAAAGGGAAATTTGGTTATTTTGGTTGCGATATTGGTGGTAAATAACGACCTAAATCCGCGTTGTCTGTTTTAACCGTGTTATCCTACTCGTGTTGTGTCACATAGTTCATGCCTCATTGATGATCCCTCTTATCTTGGTCAAAAATGCTTAATGATTGATGCTTGACATGTTTGTGCAGTGCAAAAACTTTTGAAGATTATGTTGAGTTATGCAATAAATGCCCAACTACAATTTTTTACCTAATGCAAACTTTAAATATCATTAACTCATTCGTGTTGCAAAAATTGCCCATGCTTATCGTGATTCAAAAATGAACATGTTTATGTGGTGTACAGACTCATTTATGTCATAAACATTGTCCATGTTTATCATGCTTCAAAAATAAACATGTTTATGTGGTGTACAGACTCATTTATGTCATAAACATTGTCCATGTTTATCATGCTTCAAAAATAAACATGTTTATGTGGTATGCAGACTCATTTAGAATAGAATAGAAGTGTCGGCATATATTTATGTCATATGGACAATATTTATGTCATAAACATTGTCCATGTTTATCATGTTGCAAAAATAAACATGTTTATGTGGTGTGCAGACTCATTTATGTCATAAACATTGTCCATGTTTATCATGCTTCATAAATAAACATGTTTATGTGGTGTGCAGAAGTGAGCGTTCGTCTGGTGAAGGCCCCAGCAGGGCTGCTGGGGGGGCTGTCCCGTCGGGTGACCTCCTTGATGTTTGGGTCCTTGCCCACCCAGTCCCCCGAAGCTGTGAGTTGCTCAATACCGAGGTGATAGTAAGAAATATGTTGTATATGATATAAAATTACATTTTATATTACTTCAGGAATTCAAATATGGTTAGAAATTTGTTGTAATTGATTACAAAATAAATTTTATAATCTTTCAGGAATTCAAATATGGTTAGAAAATTGTTGTAATTGATTTAAAATTACATTTAATAATACTTCAGAAATTCAAATATGGTTAGAAATTTGTTGTAATTGATTTAAAAATTACATTTATAATCTTTCTTGCATTCAAATATGAAATTATTCCAATTTTAGTTTGACTTAACCTTAGTAGTGATAGGATAAACATTGAAGAAGAGATGGCTAAATGGTTGAAAGACTGTAGGTATGTAACTTATATATGCGAGTTGCTCGCAGACTTTACTTAAGATGGCCATTAATTGTTTAAGGAATTCAATGATTTGCATTGCTTACATTGCTTGCTTTATAACAATGCAATTATCATGCAGCGCATAATCAGCCTATACGGCCTACTTCAAATAACATTTGTTTCTTGATATATGGCAAGACTTTAATTATTTGTTACTTGACAGCGGCTGGTGCGTAATAACATTTTAGTTCCATGATATACGGCAAGACTTCATTTCTTGATTGACAGCGGCTGGTGCGAGTGGTGTGCCGGAGCAGCAGCGCTGGCGGTGTGGAGGTGCTGGTAGTGTCAGCAGAGCACCTGCAGTGCTGGCACTTGTCTCCTGGCAGCTCAAGTGACAGCCTCGTCTACCAGGCGCCGCTCCTGCAGCTCGTCAGTCAGGCACTTGCTGCCAAGATGCAGGTCTCTTACTGCATAATAATCTTCATACTAAACTAATGTGTTGGAATTACTGTGGGAGCTATTTTATTTGACTTCATCTTTGTCTTTTATGTTGCTGGTACAAGTATTATTTATAAATGATTAGACATGGCTTGGTATCAGCAAAGCTATATGCTGGATTGTAGGCATAAGAATGATACCAGTTGTCCATATATGTTGATTAAAATTAAATTGTTCATTATAACATTAATAATTGTATATTGGTCTCAACATTTTCCGTGTTTCAAATGCAAAGTGACAATTTTGTCCACCTCTCCATTCCCCACGGGGACGCTTGCCCACTTCACCATTCCCCACGGACACTTGCCCTGCAACTAACTACTCTTGTCCACCTCTCCATTCCCCACGGACACTTGCCCTGCATCTAACTACTCTTGTCCACCTCTCCATTCCCATCGGGAGATTGCCACGCGACTAACTACCCTTGTCTACCCCACCATTCCCCACGGGGACGCTAGATTAACTCATGTCCTTGTGTTTACTTGGACGCTGCAGGCTGGCCTGGGTGCCGCTGGGGGCACGGGCGCTAGAGGCCCTGCATGTGGAGGTGGCGGGGTGTGGCTACTGGACGCGCAGCCACAGCCACACGCGCCCTCGCAGCTCGTGGTGCTTGTGGCGGCCTTGCATCCTGCGCGTGGCTCAGAGCTCACGCTTGCACTGGGTAAGCTCTACGCCATTTGTCACTTCTCATTTCTATTCCTCATCTTAGGAGTACAGTTTTCAATAACAGATAATGGTTATCTAATCCATTTAAATTCCAGTTTCCCCGCAATCCTGTTTCTCTTATCCAGCAGATAAGTCTGACGTCAGACCTGTTGATCATTGGAAAACTTTCTTTAGTCTTCATGAAAATGTAACTCGCGTGTCAAAACTCGATGTTATTTTTTTAACGAATTTTCCTTGCCCTCTATTTTTCAATGCCACTTGGGTAAATTGTTCAGATGCATTTAATTTCTTGTCATCTTGGTATTATACCTTTTTACGCACTTATGTAGTGTGTCACGCATGTGTGTACCAGTACCATGCATACCATCTTCCCCTACCATACCTCTGCCTGTCATACCATACACACCATCACCCTTCACCACGCCGCTGCTTGTCATACCAAGCACACCATCACCCTTCACCATGCCTCTGCCTGTCATACCAAGCATATGGTACTAGTGAAGTATAAGCACACTAATTTAGCACTCAACCAGGACTAGCTATGAGGCTACTAGTTTCCTCTCACACAACTTGCTTAAATTTAAATCTAAGGCATGTTTGCATTCAAATCAAATTCATTTCATTACCCGCAGTCAGTTACATGCAGAGTAAAACGCCTATTACTCTCAACTTTTTATCTTTATTACACAAAATGACTGAATAAAGTAACTTAATAACTTCAGTATGCTTACTTAATAAATGTTTAAGCAAACTTATCAGTTGTAAAACTAAGAACTGAGATGTGGTGTGACAAAAAAAAATACATAGTAAGTAAATGAACTGCCAGAAATGCTGATGGCAGATGCAATCTTGGATCACAGATTATTTAGGTGAGTTGTATCAGATATGCAGACTGGCCTAAGGTTTGACAATATCTGCAAAATATATTATTTCACCATTCATTGTTCTGTTTAGCAGCACTAAGCAATAAATTCAAGTGGTTCGCCAACAGAAGGTAACCCAAGTACTGCATTTTATCCATAATCATTTACTGGAGGCAACATAATTTATTCTATTATCAAGATAAATCAGAACTCATAGCGATGCTTGTGCATTCCGCATACATTTATTTAACATCAATATCCTCCTTCAAGTTGAGTTTATACATATGAAATGTTTTTCTGATCTTAAGCAGTGCAAGTCGTATTTACTGACAGTAATCATAATCTTGTAACTCCATTGCTCACTAAGGAAATAAATCAATGAAAAATTTAGTTTCTCCCACTAATTCAAAGTTTCTCCTTTGGTGACACGAGCTTCTAAGTATTCAATGCGCCTCTCCAGTGTTGTGAGTTTCTCGTTCAGTTGACTTAGCTTAGACCGGCAAGACATGTCGAAACTGTTCAGAAAATCAGCTATGCGCTTCACGTTGCTTGTGATCACCTGCAAATATCAAATTGTTAGTCGACTCATTCATATCAACACCATATTGAAGATATAATTTGTGTGTAACATTGGTGCAAGTCTCACATGAAAGTAAATTAAATAGTACCTCAGGTTGCCCTAGTATTTACAAGTCTGTAAATTTGATGTGGTCATACAAAAATTTAAATTTACCACTAGAATTGAGACTAACCTCAATATACTCTCTGTTCTCCCAGTCACTTGTGATTTGCTTTGTGATGACCTCATTGGGTCCACCTGACGCTGTTGCAGTTGCTCCTCTAGAAGACATTGTCAGTCTCTGTAAATAGAACGTATATATTAGCAAATATGACATTAATTTCAATTTTATATTAATTAAAACATTTTCCCATTCTATTCCACTTATCATATACTGGATATAAAAAATTGTACAAATTAGTTTTATTGCTGTTGCAAAGCTGTCTGACATGTCTGCTACCTAGAGTGGTAAATTCTTTCTCATTGCTGGTACCTTGTAGTTTACAAGTGATAAATTCTCAGTAAATCTGGAATTGCACAGCTTGATCGTGAACTTTCATTAAGAAACATATAGGAGATAAATCATATAGCAGAAATTTTGGCTCCCAAAAATGGTGGAAAAGCTCTTAATGGGAACCATCAGGCAGAAGTCACCTGTGGATTAGACAAAAATGCCCATGCTTACAAACAATGTCAAATGTCACCTATCTCTCTTGCCCTTGCCTACCTAGTTTCCTATCAGAAAATAAAGAAAAACAGTCCATCTTTGCCCAAGATTTTTAAAAAATTTTCCCATAAACTGATTATTTTTTTGGCAATTTTTAAAAATAATTGGCCTGATATTAAAGTTGTCTAGTTGTTAAAAATAGGTTGCCAGTATATTCCATGCCTGCCAGTAATACATGAACATCAACAAAATATTATTAGGTTTGGAAATTTTTGTAGGGGACTGTAGTGAAATGAGATGCAGTTTCCAATAAAAAAAAAATATGTGTCATTGGTGCCACAATATTTACATTTTAGTGAAGTTGTGTGATGCAAATTTAGACTAAATTTTTCTTTCATAGGAAATTTTAGGAAATCAATGCCAATTAAATTGTCCATGGGCAAGGGCACTATTGGCTCATTCATGGGCAATTTCTATCTACTTTTAGTAGCATTGTAATTAAGTCAAATTCAAAAGGGATAACATACATATGAACAAGTGTATAGGTATACCATTGGATCCATAAACCCAAAGCTATAATGCCTTAATAGTTAGCTGATGTTTTGGACCTAATTAAGTTACCAGGCTGAATGAACTATGGTATGAATATATGAATCATCATTACTAGTATATCCACTCTGCCAGCAGGTGTGGAATATACTTAATAGCCAATACTACCAATTTAGAATATGTAGCAGAATTCCAAAAATAATGGGTGAAAATATTTCATATGCAAATTTTATAAATTGCATGCAAAAATGTGTTGTATTCCTCTTTTTTTAAAGATATTGTGCAAAAGCTATACAAATTGTGAAATTGATAGCAAGCTGAGGCATTTTTTTTTTTTTTGTCTCAATTATTAGTAGTTTCTGCCCAATATTCCTGAATGGTGATTAAGCTACAATATTCCAAAGGTCAATTTGGAGCCAAATTAGAAATTTTTACTTGCTACTGAAATACTACAGCTCCAAAAGGACAAAGTTTAAATACTTTTGGAATCCTGCGGTCCAATTGTGCACTTTTGTTAACAATGAGATAGGAGGTATATAATTCCTCTATAGTGGGAATCTCACAGCTCCAAAAATTTCATGAAAACTCTTGTTTCAGCTCAAAAGGAAGCTATATTCCACACCTGCTTGGGAGCTGAGAGATGTTAGTAATGATTTGGAAGTTTTTAATCTTGCTTATCAGCATTATTATACATTACCACTTTGAAATAGCAGATAGATATGCATTTTTGTCTCATTCATGGGTGGCTTGTGCCCAATTTTCCAGTCTGAATTGAAGATGAGGAAAATAAAAAATGCAGTAAATGAGAAAGTCTTGCGCTACCATAGTTTTATGATTTACATTCATGACTTTGGAGACAGGCATGGTTACTGATTGCTAGCAATTGGTATGGATTACACATGCCTTTTGGCCCACAACTAGAGCTTCCTACCAATTTTGGCTCTGCATAATTCCCACACTCAGGATGATGTATGTTTTCGGTGAATTTTCCCGCGCATTTTCACTTTTTTTAAGCTATTGCTGTGCACAGTTGGCACAATATAATGAAAATTGATTATCTTCGCGCAATCCCGGCCATCTTTATTTTAGAAGAAATTTTCTCCAAAGTCATATGGCAACACTGAACACCGTCTGTTTACATTTTGCCGCAGTTTACAATTACCGTACGTTCCGTATCCGACAAGGCGGACAACCGGAAGAGTCAGAAGTAACCCGGACATGTCTTACATTTTATTATTGTCAGTTCGACTCGCGTAGTCAATATACTTGCGTGTGCGGCGCACGGCGCATTTTTTTACCAACGTAGTACGGCGCACCGCGCAGGTCGTTAAAATGACAAAATAAATTCCCGTGCACCTGGCACATCTTCCTGACCATGGCATAATTCCCACAAGATGAATTACTTCCAATACATTTGTTGAAAACCTCTTAATTTTTGGGCCACAACTAGAGCCTTTCTACAATTTCTGGAGCTGCAAGATTCCAGCCAGTTGCCAGACAAATTACCTCTTATCTAATTGTTAACAAATATGCACGATCAGGGTACAAGATTCCAAATGTATTAAAATTTGTCACATTGAAGCTGTGATATTTCAGAAACAAGTAGGAAAATTCCAATCCTGTTACAATATAATTATTACTTAAACCTAATGTGTACAATTTGGTTGTGAGATTCCAAATGTGTTTAAAATTGGCCTACTTGGGAGGGACTGCAAGCTTTGTTTGTCTCCAATAATGTTTAAAGACACTTCAAAAAGGAAATTTTCAAAATCTTGCTTTGACAGCAAGCATGGAAAAAATCTACCTTTAGGGCAGCGACTAAAGCTGTCCTGCCATTTCCGGAACTGCAACATTTCCGCCAGTGCCAGATGAATTACCCCCTATGACCTATCTAATTGATAGCCAAAGTGCACAACGTTCTACAAGATTCCAAATGTATTAAAAATGTGTTATGTTGGAGCCACCTCAGCCATGAGATTTTAGGAACAAGTAGGAAAATTCCAATCCTGTAATAAAATTGACAGTGCCATCTAGGTATTTCAACTATTGATAGCTACTATGACAAATTTGTCTATTATAATAATTGGTTTCAGTCTCAAATAACAATAAAAATAATTTCAGGCTAACTAGTGTTCTGCATTTGTAGTTCATTTGAATTTTGATAATGTTAGCGCAACAATATTTCCATAATTTGAAGTGCTGAAAAGTGAAAAACATACTGAGCTGTCAGCTGAGGGTACATGATATCGCGGTCGCGGAACCCGTTGTTACATATGCCTTGAAACCATTATTGCAAAAGAAATGGATAACGTGTAAAACATTTCATTGAAAAATATACTGTAACCTTTACTTTTCACAGCTTGGAGTTGGAGACGAAGTCAACTGAACGATTCACCTCGTATTCCCAATTGATTGTTGATAGCGTCCCCACTTCCCTTCCAACCTTGGGTTTGTTTACATTTTTCGGGCGCGGTCATGTCTAAATAGGAGCTTACGGAAGAAAATCCTTAATCAAACTTATTTGCGGTCACACAAGAAGATAAAATGTAAAATGTTCATAATATTGAAGAACATTTTTAATAGACGATTTGTGGAATGAATTAATTTAAAATTTAATAATAAATATTTTAATCGTATTGGTTGCATGTGAATGTTCTGTAAATTTATTTTCGTGCTGAAGATGTGATTTTTTATTCCCTACTTGATAGTTAGGTTAAAAGAAAATCAAGATGTGTTATGAGCTTTCGAAAATTTCTTGACTTACCGTATTTCATGCGTGCAAGCTGCGAATTAGGGGTTGATATTGAAATTTTTATATATATTTTTAACTTTCACTACCGTCATTTCCACTCGGTTAGCCCAGCACTTATGCCACCGATCTTCAAAAATTATGATATCAATATTCAATAGAAACGATATATTTTTGGTCCATCATTGAACCGTGGGTGCAACATTGAACCAGCTACATTGTTTTTACGTAACCGAACGTTATGAATCGTAGTTCTGACCACTACTATACGGATTTATTGACCAGGGGCCTTACCTTCAAAATTCCCTAATTAAACGTAAGTATTTACGCTCTATTTTCAACTCTATGATTGTCGGATTTGGCTTCAAAGGCCGTCAATGATTGGCTGATGAACTTACGATCTCTTAACGGTTTTTTTTTTTTTTTTTTTTTTTTTTTTTGAAAGTATAGGCCCAGCTCAGAGTGGTGCAGGATCTGCGGAGTGGTTCGCGGTTCTACACAATACTTGAAATGCATGCCCTAATATTTAGCTACCTAGTACATAACTTTACAGGAGTATTATGAAGGCCGCTGACTTATTTACCGTGCATATTTTTTAATGAAAGTTTCGCTGGAAAAATTTATTATATGAATGTTAAATAATTGCGATGGATCACGGGGCGCTTAGTTGTTCGTTATTATATTTTTCTTTAGCTACATTGGTAACTTCATGGTTGAATTATATAAGGTTGACCCCCGAGAAGTTCCGTCTTTCAGGTAAGCTTTATTGTTACGTCACGTAGAGCGAGAAACGTAAACAAACCCGTCATTCCCATGACGGATTAGTTGACTGGTTTGATCGCATCTCGGTGATTGTGTCACTGAGTTGTACGTTTGTAAAAGCCTTTTATTGCCCCCCCCCCTCCAGCGGTGGTGGAGAGCGGCAGCTGCCCCCAGGGGGTACTGAGCACGACACTACTGCAGCAGAGTGACGTCCCCCCCTCCCTCGACCCCCCCTCCTCCAGTGGGGGGGTGAGTGATGACTCAGCGCCCCCTGCCCCCCTCCTGCAGTACAGACTTGTGCTTGCCTCCTGTACTGCCTTCGTGCACACCCCCAGCAGCGTCATCGCCGTGCCCTGTGAGACCTACGCTCCTGTTACATGAGTCACCACTTCCCATATAATCTTATAAAAGAACAATAACACAATACCTACTGTCTTATACTAATAAGAACAATGCACTAAAGATATCTCAATTCATTTATATATCAAAACAACGTCTCATGAATTATTAACAGCAACTCTTTTGTTTATATGGGAAGATGGCGACATGAGCGCATGGCGACTTTAGTGTAGGTATATGAGTACATGACAGTGCATGTGTGCACCCGGCACCGTCATGAAGATATAGATGGATATCTATCTTGATCAATATAGATATCTATATTAATACTTTATGATATATTATAGCATTTAATAGATATTAATATTATATTAACATTGATCTGAGTTAGGTGAAGTATACAGAATATGATGGAAGAAGCGTTTGACCGACAATAATTGAATTGTTACTAGAGCAGAAATGCTATTTAAGGTAGTTTATTCATGTATTATTAGTTAAAATTTATAAGTTGATTTTGTCCTTGACAATGATGCTAGAATGTTTTTGGTGATTAGTGCACAAAAAACTTAGGTAATTTAATAAGGCACTAATAATTGAGGAGGGTATTTAATTAAGTTGATATATATCAAGGTAGGTAATAAATAAAGGTTATATTTAATAAGGTTTGTAATTTTTAAAATGTGGTATTTATTAAGATAGGTAATTAATAGAGATAATATTCATTAAGCTAGGTAAACAATAAAGGTAATATCTATGAAGATATGCAATTAGTGAGATAATATTCATTAAAATTAAATAATGAAGGTAATATTTATCAAGGCAGGTAATTAATAGAGATAGTTTTCATGAAGGCAGGTAATTAGTAAGATAATATTCATCAAGTAATGAAGGTAATAATGGAGTTGTCCCTCAGGCAGCGACGCGACCATCGCGCTATCGTGCTAGGTAATTAATAAAGGTAATATTTCTGAAGGCAGGTAATTAGTAAGACAATATTCATCAAGTAATAAAGGTAATATTTCTGAAGTTAGGTAATTAGTAATATAATATTCATAAAGTAAAAAAGGTAATATTTGTGAAGTTAGGTAATTAGTAATATAATATTTATTAAGTAATGAAGGTAATAATGAAGTTGTCCCCCAGGCAGCGACGCGACCATCGCGCTGTCGGTCCGCGTCGCCCTGCCCGCCCCCGGGGACCGCCTGCTGGGGACGGGGCGCCTCAAGGGGCACGCGCTCTTCTTCAGCGCCTCGCAGGGCGTCCTCGCCGTCACGCCCCCCGGGGGCGCCGCCCCTGCAGGCGACCTGCAGCTACAGAGGTGTGCTTCTCTTATGCCTTCATCTGAGCATGTGAAGTACTGGTGGTGATAGTGGGAAATAATTATTTAAAAAATATATATTTTTTGCAGTTAATGAATAATTGATTATTCATTAACTGCAGTTAATGAATAATCAATTATTATTCATTTTTCTTTATTCAGTTAATGAATAATTGATTATTTAGACGTTCTAATGACAGCTCCCCCACAGGGAGTGCTGGAGGAGACGTTCCCCCAGGGGAGCTACCAGGACCTGCCTGACGCAGCCCTCGCCCTCTCCAGGAAGCTGCTGGACGACACCCCCGCTACTGACCCCCGCTGGGCCGAGGTGGGGGGCGTGGGGGGCGGTGGGGGCACCACACACTCACTCATCATCACCAACCAAATCAGGGACAAGATGACGGCACACAAGTTCTACCTCAACTTCCTGCACCAGGTCTGTATATTGTTGTCTTGTGTATTGTGTTTCTTCTGAGGCCCGCATAACTTGTGTTGTCTTGTGTATTGTGTGTGTTGTGGGGCCCTCATAACTTGTGTTGTCTTGTGTATTGTGTGTGCTATGGGGCCCTCATAACTTGTGTTGTCTTGTCTATTGTGTGTGTTGTGGGGCCTTCATAACTTGTGTTGTTTCCCTTATGCTGGCCCCTGTGGGGCCAGCATAACTTTTATTTTATTGTGCCCCAGACGGGGCTGTGGGGCCAGCATAACTTGTATTGTCCCCTCCAGACGGGGCTGTGGGGCCAGTTGGGCCTGCTGGGGAGCAGTGGGGACCAGGCCCGCAAGACGCTGCAGGAGGACACCCAGCGCCTCGCCTTCGCGGCCGCCCTCAGGGCCCGGCACCAGCAGCACCAGCAGCTCGTCGACCACGCCATCGCGTCAGTCATGACTAAATGCTACTCATATACTTATGTTTAATAATAATACTTTTTCTATATATAATAATGCTGCCTCTATACATATATTTAATAATACTCTTCAATACGTATATTTAATGATGCTAGTTCTTCTATATATAATAATAGTACTACTAATACATCACGTTAGAGATACATACTGATGCTACTTATATAGGTACTTATGTTTAATAATATTACTTCTTCTATATATAATAATACTACTAAAACATCGCGTACGATTTTTTAATGATGCTACATCTATACATATATTACATAATGCTAGTTCTTCTATGTATAATAATACTACTAATACGTCGCGTACGAGCTAATCAATAATGCTACTTCTGTACATATATTTAATTATGTTACATCTTCTATATAATGCTACTTCTTTCTCGTAAAAATCTTATTTATATTTGTAAGCAACACAATGATATATTTTATTGTTATTATACATATTTCGTTCCATTTTTTGGGCATCTGAATAAGATATTTTGTTCTCCTTGCATGTGTGCCGTTCACCTCTCAATGTATGGCTAGACGATGCAATAAAACGATACAATATAATAAAATATAGGACAGACTAGGCCTCTTGCCTGCCTATAGTGCTCTTGGTTATGACCTAACCTTCTAAAGTAACTAACGTAGCCACTAGTGTCGCTAGTGTGACGTAACTACTAGTGTCACTAGTGTGACGTAACCACCAGGTTCACTAGTGTGACGTCACCAATACTATCACTAGTGTGACGTAACTACTAGTGTCACTAGTGTAACGTACTACTAATGACACTAGTTTGACGTCACAACTAAGTGTGATGTGTGATGTGGTGCAGGGAGGTGGTGCGTGAGCGTGGTGACGTGGTGACGGGTCGCCTCACTGCCGCCGACCTCTTCTACTGGCGCGTGAGCGCCGTGCACGACATCGTGTGGGGCCTCAGCAGGGCCCTGCAGCAGGTACGTCGTGTGGGGCCTCAGCAGGGCCCTGCAGCAGGTACGTCGTGTGGGGCCTCAGCCGGGCCCTGCAGCAGGTGCGTCGTGTGGGGCCTCAGCAGGGCTCTGCAGCAGGTGCGTCGTGTGGGGCCTCAGCAGGGCCCTGCAGCAGGTGCGTCGTATGGGGCCTCAGCAGGGCTCTGCAGCACGAAACTTTCATCCTTATCAAAGATATTGAATTATCACCACTAATCATCACCAGTAATCATCACCACTAATTACACCACTAATCATCACCACTAATCATCACCACTAATCATCACCACTAATCATCACCACTAATCATCACCACTAATCATCACCACTAATCACTCTCACTGTCGCCCCCAGGTGGTGGACGCGGACGTGGCGCCCCGGGACGCCCCCGGGACGCTGCACACGACGGCGTCCCTCGTCCTCGCCCTCGTCAGGGCCGCCACGGCGGGGGGCAGGGCCGCCACGGCGGGGGGCAGGCCCGCCCCCCCGGCCATACCTTCGTCGCCCCCCACTGAGTATGTCCCCTGGACCGCCAGTGGGGGACCCAGGGGCCTCCGCACCCTCCTCATAGCCCTCCACAGGAATATTGTAGAGGTGGGGCCCTGTTTGTTATGTACAGTCAAGGAAATGCCTGCGCAGGAATATCGTCGTACACTCAGAAAAATAAGCGTTATTTGTGCCTCAAAAGTCGCCACATCTCAGCGGCGCTTTGGACTTTGAGCTCCAAAGGAAATTAACTCTCCTGATGTTAATTAAATTAGCTGATAGAAATATTAATGGTTTAGTTCGACATGATTATTTTCACAATAACCTTGTTCAGCTGTACCATTTCCATAAAAACGAGTTAATAATTGTTGAGCTGGACTAAAGTATCGCAATTAATGTTATATAATATCTGTTATGCTATTGTACGGGAATTAGCGCGTTCAATTAATACTAATTGGAGCATAATGAGGCGTGAATGTCATCATCTTTAATGCCTCATGACTCACTTCGCCTCCCTTTACTCACCACCCCTCCTCCCGTGACTCCCCCCTCTCCCTTCCCGTGACTCGCCTATCCTTCATGACTCACCCCCCACCATCCCATGACTCGCATCCATCTCCCGTGACTCACCCCCTCCTACTCACCCCCCCTACCGTGACTCACCACCCTTCATGACTCACCTTTTCCCTCCTCCCCCGTGACTCCTCCTCCCGTGACTCACAACCCCCACCCCCCGCAGGTGGGTATCGGGCAGGCTGCTGACGCTGCGTCGCGCGCGTCGCTGTACGCGTCGCTCGTCGACCTCGCTGACGTCATCCTGGCGGGCTACCAGCCGCAGCTGACCTCCCTGCTGCGACCTGCTGACACCGCTGCCAGCGCTGCCAGGTGACTAGTTAACTGCCTGCTGCCAGCGCTGCCAGGTGACTAGTTAACTGCCTGCTGCCAGCGCTGCCAGGTGACTAGTTTACTGCCTGCTGCCAGCGCTGCCAGGTGACTAGTTTACTGCCTGCTGACACCGCTGCCAGCGCTGCCAGGTGACTAGGTTACTGCCTGCTGACAGCGCTGCCAGGTGACTAATTTACTGCCTGCTGACACCGCTGCCAGCACTGCCAGGTGACTAGTTCACTGCCTGCTGACACCGCTGCCTTCCCTTGTTGCCGTCTATTTATTCTGAAGTTGACATTTTTCAACACCGCTTGTTTTCTTCCAATCGGTTATTATGATGATTATTATTATATAATCGATTATTTTGATTATTATTATTATATCTTTAATTACTATAATGATTATTATCATTGAATCAATTATAATAATGATTATTAATATTTAATCTATTATTATGATGATTATTGTTATTTAATCTATTATTATGATGATTATTGTTATTTAATCTATTATTATGACGATTATTGTTATTTAATCTGCCATTACGATTATTATTATTAAATTGATTATTATGATGACGCACAAGACATGACACACAATCATGGCTATAATAACGTGAACATCAATGCCTTACTAATATTAACCATATAAACTGCTTTTTTAGAATATCAATTAAATGTTCGTAAAATATCTAGCATATTTTATAGAGCATTATACATTACTATCATAGTGCTAGTGCTATAATATGTGAACCGCAGTATTGCACTAAACCGCAGAACCACAGTGCAATAATATGTTCTCCCGCAGATACTAGTACTAGTGCTAGTGCAGTAAAATGTTCTCCCGCAGATACTAGTACTAGTGCTAGTGCAATAATATGTTCTCCCGCAGATACTAGTACTAGTGCTAGTGCAGTAAAATGTTTTCCCGCAGATACTAGCACTAGTGCTAGTGCAATAATACATTCTCCCGCAGATACTAGTACTAGTGCTAGTGCAATAATATGTTCTCCTGCAGATACTAGTACTAGTGCTAGTGCAATAATATGTTCTCCCGCAGATACTAGTACTAGTACTATTGCAATAATATGTTCTCCTGCAGATACTAGTACTAGTGCAATAATATCTTCTCCCGCAGATACTAGTACTAGTGCTAGTGCAGTAAAATGTTTTCCCGCAGATACTAGCACTAGTGCTAGTGCAATAATACATTCTCCTGCAGATACTAGTACTAGTGCTAGTGCAATAATATGTTCTCCTGCAGATACTAGTACTAGTACTAGTGCAATAATATCTTCTCCCGCAGATACTAGTACTAGTACTATTGCAATAATACGTTCTCCTGCAGATACTAGTACTAGTGCTAGTGCAATAATATGTTCTCCTGCAGATACTAGTACTAGTACTAGTGAAATAATATGTTCTACCGCAGATACTAGTGCTAGTGCAATACTATGTTTGTCTCTTATACACATCT